TTACCAACAATTGCAAAGAGCGCTTAATGAGGTTTATATTTGGTCGCAGGAGTGGTCTCTTCCTATCTCCACAGAGGAAACTAAAGTGATACATATCGAACCGAAGACCTCTAATCAAAATTTCAACTACCTTCTTGGAGAGTCTTTTCTTCAAGAAGTTGATTCTATAAGAGATCTGGGCTTCATGGTTAAAGGCAGCGTCCCACCAAACTGGGGGTACCTGGCTCTCGTAATGATATAATAGTAGACCCCCTACCTAAGCGATGACTGAAGTTCGGAGCGAAAAAGGGGGTCTACAAAGCCTGAAATTTGCTCCGAAAGTGGGCCGAATCTTACGGTAGGGCCGAACGCCGCCCACACGGCAATATCGATTTGCAGGCCAGAGTGCGTATAGCGCACACATCATGAGCGCAGGGACCCGCAACCACTCTGCGTCTCTACCTTGTACTCGCCCGATCCTACCGTAAGATTCGGCCCACTTTCGGAGCAAATTTCAGGCTTTGTAGACCCCCTTTTTCGCTCCGAACTTCAGTCATCGCCTAGGTAGGGGGTCTACTATTACATCATTACGAGAGCCAGATACCCCCAGTCTGGTGGGACACTGCCTTTAAGAGTGACCTCACTTTTGATGTGATCACTGCAAGTTGGTAGCAGTTAAAGCCACAATGTCGGTATACAACTTGTTTAGAGCTTTTACAATCAATGACACTACTTCACTCATTGAAGCTTACAAATCATTTATCAGGCCTACGGCAGATTACAGGGTGTCCGTAAAGTATGTATGCACTGTTTGATCGTTAATATCTCCGTTCCCAGGGGGTCTTTTGCCGAGCTTTAAGCACCATACTGTAGAGCTGGCTTCAACTTAGATTTACAGTATAGAGCGAATCAGCGATCACTCACTGTTATTGTAGGATTACGGTAGAAACTTGAAACATATGGTGTCAATGTGGAAAAAGCTGTCGTTTCAAAATTTTTCAAAAAAATGTGAAAACTTGTGTAATAGGGTTTTTATGGACGCTGAGTTCAATACTCAACTATTCAAAAGATTGCGAAGCTTTCTAAACGGTGTAAACGCCCTTTTTAGGAACATTGAAAGAATGGCCGCTACCTCTTACCTGGCATAACTCTTCAATGAAGCATCATAATAAGTTGGGAACTTCACAATTAGAATCAGCAACTCTAATTAGCCTAGTGTAAAAGTTTTCAGGCTGTTTTGTTTCCTTTCTGAGGCGAAATATGGCCTTTCATGGCTCAAAACCCTCTTTGAAGTTCCTACCGTAATCCTACAGTAATGAGAGGAGACCGGCGATTCGCTCCATACTGTAAATCTAAGTTGAAGCCAGCTCTACAGTAAGGTGCTTAAAGCTCGTCAAAAGACCCCCTGGGAACGGAGATATTAACGATCAAACGGTGCATACATACTTTACGGACACCCTGTATAGTACAGTCATATTTATCCACACTTGCGTAACGATTGACTATATGGAAAGAGTTCAGAACAGCTTCACAGCAAACGTTCATCCGAGGGGTGGGTTTTAGATGTAATTTCTACCAAATGATATGACTAGAAACATTGAACTAGGGCTTACATCTCTTGCTTATAGAAGGCGTAAGTTCGACCTCATGGCACACAAAATAGCATATGGTATTGCGGCTTGAATTTCGGGGCGTTTTTCCCCCTAGAAAATCTAATACAAGAGGAGGAAGTAGGAAGATTATCTCCACTCCAAGACACAAGGTCCGCTGATGTTTTTTCACTTGTCGCGTTACTAACGACATGGATAAACTCATGAAAACGCTTATTTCCGGCAGAGTTGTCTTCGTTTAACTCAGACAACTGACCGAAACTTCCGCAGCGCTTTCGCAGGATTTCCGCAGGTGACCCGGCGGAAATCCTGCGAAAGCGCTGCGAAAAATCTGCAATCTCAGGGTACAGGGCATACTTGGGTAATTCGATTATTTTCCATCGAATGAATGAATATCGAATAAATTCGAAAAGGAAAAATTTCGAATAAACGAATATCGAATAAATTCGAAAATAAAAAACTTCGAATAAACGAATATCGATTAAATTCGGAAAATCAAAAATATCGAATGAATGAATTTCGAATAAATTCGGAAAATCAAAAATATCGAATGAATGAATTTCGAATAAATTCGGAAAATCAAAGATATCGAATGAATGAATATCGAATATATTCGAACATTGGAAGTCGAATTTCGAATAAATATTCGAATGATTTATCGAATAACTAAAGCAATCACATCTCAAACTTGCCAACATATCTGGCTAAAGCCGATCCAATCATAATCAGCCTACCCCCTATACCAACTCCTAGCTCAAAATTTTCCAAAAATTGCTGAAATCAATAAAATAGATTTCGTTTTTGATCAGCACCCTCACTTACCCCTTTGTACCAACTCCCAACCTCGTGGCTCAAGATTTTCCAAAAATCGATAAAGTAAATTTTTATCCTAATCAGCACCCTCACCCCCTTGTACCAACTCCCAATCTCGCAGCTCAAGATAAAAATGAGAAACATTGCAACTTGGTGTAAGCACCTAACGAGCTGTTCGGATTCATAGCGCTAGGTGTGCGATCTTTTGAAGCAATAAGCTGGCCACATATGTACTTAAATTCCACAAATGCTACGATACATTGCCTGTTCATCGGAGACTTTCGTCTTGGGTGTGCAAGCTAGTCGTGGACGAAGGCATGTGGTCTCCTCCGAAAGCGAGCACGAATGCCCCTATAACCCCGGGCATACTGCAGGCATTTCAGTGGCGACGTGGTATCGCAATACTCAAATTGTCCAAAACATTCTGAAGTACAGAATGCAGGGCAATTATCTTTTTGATATGTTGTACACGCTAAACATTTGTGGTAAGCTGCCATTACCAGGGCTCGGCACAGCTGGCACCGGGTCAAGCTGGATATCGTTTTAGGGGCGAAAAGCAAAGGGGATATCGTTTCTCCGGGGTCCAGTACAGAGCCCCGCAAAAAATTTCGCTTACTCTCCTTCATGAGATCACAAAGATTGCAAAAAAATGCAACACAAACGAAATCTGTCTTGCAAAATACTCTAACATATAGATACATAAGTTTTCGGCCGAAATGCAGACGGCATGCTAAGTCTAAATTTGGCCGTCAGCATGCCACTGACATGCCACAGGCGATATGCCGGCAGCAGGAGCGCGGGAATTCAAATTGTACCAGAAATAAACAAAAGCCTTATTTAGAAGTAAAACGCAATCATATGACACCAAATTTGGTGAGTGCATGCGCGTTGGGGGACATAAACTATGGCCCAAAAATTTATGAAAACTTATGTGAATTGAAGCTGTGCCCAACTTTTTTCTGAATTAGCTGGCACCGTGCCAGCTGGGTGCCAGCTGAGCTGGCACCAAGCCTTTGCACACATAAGTTTTCATACTTTTTTACATCAATTGTATCTACACCTTAAAAGTTTACATACAGAGGAAAAACGATTTCATAATGTTTCCTTTTCGGCGTTTTATAGCCATCTGAAGTTTTTCCGGTCTGCTTCGCAGTCGAATAATCTGCTCCAATCACAAAACGCGCCCTGAGCAAATGCGGCGCGAATTCTGTCGATTTCATTTCGACATTTTATCAATCTCATTATTTATGGCTTTTGTATTCTTGCGTCACTTTTTTTTGTATTGTTCTTTCTATTCTTCTATTTGTTTTGTTTCAGGCATCGACTTTCGGCTCTGCACATTTCTATTGAGCACGCACCGAGCGTATTGGATGCTCACGAAAGCTTATTGAAGGATTTTGAGAATCCTGGATCGAGCGACGTACAGTATTTGGCCAAACTTCCAAAGGCCGAAAGTTAATGTGCTCCAAACAAGATTCGCACTAGAGCGCCAATCTTGTTCGGAGCACCTTATTTCTGGCTTATTTCCTGTCAATTATTTCTATTAAGATGAAAGTAACAATTTCTTCTTTCATTTCCACTATTTTCATTACTATTTAGTACTAGAAAATGATGTTTTCGGGAAGTCTTAAAATCGCTTTCCGTTTTGATTTCTTATGTGCCTGGGCTTATTTTTCATGGTGATTCGCATGCTGCTTTCAACACTTTTTTTCACTATCCTTAGTGAGTATTCGCCGACTTTGCCTCTTTCAGTTGCACTTTGATTAACTTTTTATTTCATCTTTGTTTTTTACTTTTTGATGTTCTTCTGTGGTTTATGATTACATTGGCTAGGACTTTGAAAGAAGTTAGCACCTCTCGCAATCAAACTTTCGAGGGGTATTTTTTCTCGGATATGCTGATTTGTTTGTTGAACCATCTTCAATTTCTGTTTATGTTTGTGTTCTATGTTTAACAGTTTCTTCTTCTAATCGGCTTCTTTCTCCTTTCTTCTCTTCTCCTCCTCTTCGTCCTCCTCCATCCTACCGGTTGACTCTGCCATCCTTGAGTGCTCCGGCGTGTGTCCGTTGCAGAATAGGACAAATAATTCGTACAAATATTTTTAATTCCAATATCAGAAGATCTGTACACGTAACGTTTTGAGGATGATGTAGGAAATCGGTTAGTCATATCACTTCCCACCCTGTGCTGCACTAAGGTACATATGCCTAACGGATTCGTGATCAGTTATCTTCTTTCTTTGTTTCGATATCACTCTCTATCAATAATCTCTTCTGTAGTTGAAGATTACTCTAATACAGTAACGATGGTATCGCAAAATGCAAACTATATTCGGAATCTCCATGAAAAATCACCCCAGGTACATAAGAAACTAAAGCAAAAAGCGATTTTAAACCTTTTCGAGAAAACTTTACTTTCTAGTGTGAAGCGATGAAAGAAATTGTTGTTTTTATCTCAATAGAATAGCCGGCAGAAAATAAGCCGGAAATAAGGTGCTCCGAACAAGATTGGCGCTCTAGTGCGAATCTTGTTTGGAGCACATTAACTTTCGGCCTTTGGAAGTTTGGCCAAATACTGTACGTCGGATCGAGCACTACTATGGGGTGAGTTATTTTTTTGGTTCTCTATGTTCTTATGCTCTGTTGCCTCTGTTGTTCTCATGTTCTTGTGCTCTCTATTCATCTGTCGTGCTTTGAGGCCCCGGACAGACTTCACGCGATTTGATCGTCGCGACTGAATCGCGACGAGACAACTGTTACAACATCATTCCATGCCGATCAACTTGCATTTCGGTTGTGATACTTTTCCAGCCCGAAATTTTTGAATGTGAAATGAAAATGAGTGGAAATGTCGGCGATTGAGTCGCGACGATCAAATCGCATGAAGTCTGTCCGGGGCCTCACGAGAAACTATATCATAGAACTCAACAAGTCATAGACTTGGTACGCTAGACAAAACAAGGCGTAGAGGGAATGCGTAGCTGTAATCAAAATCCGGATTCTTCGGAAGGTTTTCTTCGGAACTTTTGCTGAACTTGCAGTTTTGAAAGTGCTTTTTGTTTGGTTTGCGAACAATCATAGCGAAAAAGAACAGCGAAGTCATATGAGTGGATTTTAGCTGTGATTCGTTCATTATAAGTGCCGAACTGCAACATGGAATGATTTTTTTAGTTTCAGTTTTAACATATGTAAGTGCGGATCACCTTCTTTCATGCTTGTCGAGAGACAAACTCAGTATGATATTTTTAGCGAAGTTTATGCAGTCACAATATGCCATCCCTCTACGCCCTGTTTTGCCTAGCGTACCAAGTCGATGACTTTTTGAGTTCTATAATACAGTTGTTTTTAGGCGTCTTTCCCGCGCTGCTTGACTGGAATTTCCCTAGATTTTCTTATTTAAATTACTGCATCGTTGTAGAGCTCATTTACTCCATTCTGCCAGGGGTTTCGCCGATATTGAGGCGCTACCAAACGTTCAAAAATGAAGTGTCAGTTCATAGTGCAGTTGCGTAATTGGGTCGCGCTTTGTGAGGAGTTACTTGCAACATAGTATTATTTCGTGAATTATCGGCACATGTTCAAATCATCCTTGCGATCATATTCGCGCAACATTTTGCATGTACCTACAGACATACTTCTGTATGTTGCTGAGTGCTATGTCGACGAGCTTCATGGATAGCAAAATTTGATGATGTATTGATTGATTGATGAATTGATTGATGAATGAATTTGATGCCGAGACTGGGCGACAAAATTTGCGCGTGAACAGTTTCCTGCGCCTGTATTGCCGGTCAAGATGTCGGCTTTTCAGGAATGGCTATTTGTTCATCGCACATTTTGTTGCCTAGTCTCGGCAGCACTGGAACACTATGTCGAGCTGGAAATCTGCTAGACTATGTATCCAGCCACTCCACTTACCCATACAAGAGTCACCTTGAGATCTAATCAAAGGTTGAAAACAAATCCGATGATATAGCGAGGAGATTCAGAGATTGCTCCATAGTTCTCACCGAATTCTCAGAATATTATTTCAGTGTTTCAAGCTGTATCGAATCAAACGAAACAAGAGGAAGCATGAAGCAAAAGTTGAATTTACTGAGGTTCGTCTGTCTAACATCTTGCAAGCAACAATTTTGATTATGAAGTCTTTTTGAAGCGTTCAGAAACTTTCTTGGTGTGGTGAAGACTTTTTCTTTTTCGCCCTCCTCTCCTTCACATTGTATAAGAAGATCATATATGTTTCAGTCGCACTTTGTCGAAATCATGCAAAAGCGCTTCGTATTGCTGCAGTCACGGATCCGGAGTGGTCGATTCTCCACAACCTATTGAACGGGAAGGAAGAAGTCAGCCATTTATGAATAGCAGAACGTGGATTTTTGTGAATAAATTACTTAACAAAAAATCATTGAAAAGTTGTTAAATGAAATCAGCATGCGTGAAAACTCTATTACATACTCTTACAGAATCTAAAAATAATGACGAGTCTTCAAAACAGGTCAAAGGGGACTTCGTACGAAATTTTCAAGGTCAAAGGGGACTTCGTTCTGAAATTTTCCTGGTGCCAGCTCGTGCCGAGCCCTGGCCATTACATCTGAAGACATCTCGTAACTGACAAATCGCGTACGGCGATCTAAACCCTAATCCTGCACTACAACTGCGATGTCCTTTACTCAATATACACCAATTCGCAAAAACTCTAAGGTAACGAATAGGCAGTTTTGCAATAATTTATGCGAGCAAGAGTGCTCACTAGTGTGGGCTTTGCGTACCGCAAGCATGAGCAATGCAAAGAAAGAAGAACAGCCATTTCAATTCAGTATGAACTCAGAACATGAGCTTGAATTTGATATCTTCTTTGCTGATTTGGTGCCAATAGCAGCGCGAACAATCTCAATGATCGAAAAAACATCAGTTAAAATCCACATATGATTTTTTTACTGTCGCAAGCAGTCGGAAGAATGCGACTCTCCATACAGTTCAAAGGTATACCAGTTGCAAAAGATGCATTACAGAGTTTTGCGAAAAAAACGCGGACGAAGTGAGCTTGATACTCAGCAGTTGGCTCTGCAACAAAGTCGAATAATCTGAATACGGAGTACATTCGAATACGAATTCGAATAAACGTTCGAATAAAACATTCGAATAAAATCTATTCGAAACCCCGTTTTTTGATTATTCGAGTTTTCGAATAATATTCGAAACCTCGTTTTTTGATTATTCGAGTTTTCGAATGATATTCGAAACCTCGTTTTTGATTATTCGAGTTTTCGAATTTTATTCGAAACCCTGTTTTTTGATTATTCGAGTTTCGAATTTTATTCGAAACCCCGTTTTCTCAATTATTCGAGTTTCGAATATTATTCGAAAATGGAAGTACTCCGAATATTGAATTTCGAATACGAATATATTCGAATGTTTTATTCGAATGATCGAATTTCTATTCGATTCGGACCCAAGTATAGTACAGGGTTTCCGCAGTACTTTGCGGTTTTCGCATTTGATTCGCGATCCGCTTCTTCTATACCAAGCTTCCTTTTTGATACTAGGTTTTCCTTTCCAACACTAGATTTTCACTTTTTTACTAAGGCATTACTCCTTTGATGTGGAAATTCCTCTAGACTTTCTAGATGCTAAGAGACGTAGACAGCGAGATAGTTTTAATGAGGAAGCAAATGCACAGTGTATTGTTTTATGCAGGTACCATATAGAATCACAATAGGCCTAAGTTGATAATTGCAAATTAATAGATCAATGAAGTGTTCATATAAATATATGTAAAATCAAAGAAGCATTCGAGTATATATGCAAAGCCGACTAAGGTTGGAAAAAATCGGCAATTATTAAAAATTAAAAAAGCAATGTTCTTATGGAAGAGTAAAGAGGAAGAATAAGATAAAAACAAAAATAACAATCTCATTCACAAAGGATAATATGCGCTTCAAGGGAAGATGGTCCTGTGGGGAAATAAACCGTTTCCACTTATCGGGTGTCACTTTGACCTTGTCCGTGCGACTGAAGCCGACTTCGGCCTCCCTTCCTTTCTGTAATGAGAATTAATTGAGATCTCTTGATGTAAATTGTGCTTGCCGCAAGTGTTCCACTTTGTAACTTCTTCGCCATGAGATAGGAGCAAAATTTGGACAATTCATTTGAAATTTTTGGAAATTTCGAAATCTTAACAAGAGAAGCTCTAAAACAGATTTGAAAATTACAAGAGTTTTTTTGCAGAAATCAAGGCTTTACTTCGACTTGAATTTTTTTGGAATTTTCAGATTTGGAGCGCCAGAACTTTTGTTTTAATCTAATATTCCAGCATTTTCCACACAAAACAGGTATGTGTCAGACTCTAAGCAGGTATATGTAAGTAAAAGTTATTATAAATTATTGTTGAATTTTCATAAATTAACTTAGAAAATAATACTAATGAACCTAAAGCTCGTCCCCATCCTTTTCAAATTCGAAACTTTCTTCCTTCACATCCAATCTGCACATTTTTATTTTGAAAAAAGACATGCTTTCTAATGGTACCTGAAGCAATTCTTGATAGCTCCAGAGATCGAAGTCGGTGAAGAAAATTACTCCATTTTAATATTTCCCATGTTTGGTCGCAAATTGAGAATGGAGTAATTTTCTTCTCCTGCTTCTATCTCTGGAGTTTGCTCCCATTGAAAGGTACTTCAGGTAGGCACTATTGGAAACATGAATTCGAAAATAAACATGTGCAGATCCGATGAAGATGTAGGAAGTATTTTTGGGGGAGAGAAGAGCATTTTAAAACAGCAAAAACAGAGGAGCAGAGAAGGATAGATACATTAAAGAGCAGTGGCGGTCATAATACTTTCGACTCAATGGATCTCTTTGATTTTATGTTCATCTAAGAGACGAAATCATTCTCTTTACAATGTATTTCTGCCATAAATTGGCTTAGGAAGGTTCGCGAGTTAGAAGCAGTTAAATATTACTCAATATTGGCATTTTTAAAGCGGGGTCACCAAAAAATTCTGAAATTTTTCGATAAAAGAAATTTCTCGAGCATGTTCTTTGCTATGGTACCTTTTCCAAAAAGAAAAAAAGATTGAGAATTAGAGGTAAATAAAGAGAACTATTCAGTTTTGCAATTTTTGAGCATGCTCAAAAATGCCCAAAAACGTCACAGAAAAGACGGGATATTTATAAATTGGGTTTTGTGACCTTCTAGCTGAGAAAAATTCGTGCCAATCGTAAGCAATTTTGATTTTCGTAGAAAATCAGATCCAAAAACTCGGTAATATTACGAAAATCAAAATTGTTCTCGATTGGCACGAATTTCTCTCAACTATAAAGAGAAGGTCACTAAACCCATGTTCACATGAATTTCCCGTCCCTCCCAACGCAAAACTGAAGTAATTCTCTTTATTTGCGTCCAATTCTCAATCTTTTTTGTTTTTGGAAAAGACACTATAGTAAAGAGCATAGCTTTCTCTATCGAAAAATATTTCGAGAATTTTTTGGTGACCCTGCTTGAAAAATGCTAATTTTGAGTAATTTTCTTCAGTTGCTTCTAACTTTTAGACTATTTTATGGCAAAAGGTACTGCTGTTAAGAGAATGATTTCTCCTCTTAGATGGATACAGTCGTTTTCAATACTATTGGTCTTTTCTACCGTATGCCTTCCAGCCTCAACATGACGTGGACTGGTGAGGCGCCGCCTCGCTTCGGGCCTGTGCCACGTAGCGGACGCTCTTTTGGCGCGGCGTGGCGGGAAAAGCAACGTGGCGCAAGCCCGATGCGATGCGGCGCCTCACCAATCCACGTCAGTTGAGGCTGGAAGGCGTACGGTAGAAAAGACCAATACGTATTGAAAACGACTGTAAACGCAAAGAGATCCATCAAGTCGAAAGCAAGTTTCTTGAAAAACTGGCGAACGTACTTTTGGTCCCACCTGATTTGAATCTGAAAATTTTTGAAAATATTTCAATATACACCAAGAGCTTGTAAATCACTTTGAAATTTCGGTGACCCATTCCCCCCCCCCCTTTGTTTTGATATATTTCTACCTAATCACTTCTGCTTTATTTGCATCCAGTGCATATTTTCTACAAAGTAATTTTTAAATTACTTGCAATATTATTTTAATCAAAGCACATAAAGCAAAGAAGTTCGACATACCTGAACAAGGGCGTTGTGCTTAGACGAAGTCCCTCCGTTGAGTCCTTTTCCAGCACCCCAGCAGCTTGGTGATGGTTGTTCACACACCTGCACCGATGCCTGAAAGAATACTTAGAATATGGATGAGTATAGGTTTACTTACGCCAACATTGAAGAAAGAAAGAAAAAAGAGAAAGATTAGAGGCGGGAAAGTGCGCTATGCGCTGTTGATGTTGCGTTCGCTATTTCGCAATCGCGAGTGCATGCGCTCTCAAAGTCCTGCGGAAATGCTGGCAGGTCAAAGTGCTGCGGAAACCTTACGAACCTCACTGCACTTTCGCAGCCTTCACGGAAAGTGCTGCGGAAGGTTCCGGTTTACGATCGCTGTGACGTCACTTTCCTGCGGAAACCTCGCATTTTGGGCGTGCACTTTCTCAATGGTTAAGAAAGTGCTGCGGAAAAGTTCTGCTTGTCCTGCGGAAGTTCCGGTGAATTGTCTGAGTAAGACTGCTTTATGGAGCTATCTTCAGTCTCAGTGAAATGTTGTTACTAACACGGGTTGTTACGATCTATCTCTTAAACTTACAACTTCGGTGTATTTTTTTGTTTCGTTTTTTATGCGTTGTTGCGGTTAACATAGGGTCATCCCCTATGCAATAAATGAAACGAATATGAAATGAAATATGCGTATTGTACAACAAACCCGCTACTTCACAACTTGTAAGATTAAAAGCTGTCAACTTTAGGGAACGGCCATAGGTTGTCGGTGTTGTCGATGTTGACGATGTTGTCGGTGTTGTCGATGTTGTCGGTGTTGTCGGTGCTGTCGGGGTTGTCGGGATTGCCGAGGTTGCAGGTCGTTGTGGACCTCATGATAGCGTCCACGTTTCGCGCGCTCTCTAAACTGTCTCTGACCCCGACAACCCCGACAACACCGACAACACTGACAACACCGACAACACCGACAACACTGACAACATCGACAACATCGACAACACCGACAAAATCGACAACCTATGGCCGTTCCCTTAGTGTGCAGACTCACATACAAGTCAAAAATGACACGTGGGTAGTATACTTCATTTTTGGCCCCGGTCAGACTTCACGCGACTTAATCGTCGCGATCTAATCGCCAAGATTTCCATTCATTTTCATTTCACATTCAAAAATGTCGGGCTGGAAAAGTATCACAACCGAATGCAAGTTGATCGGCATGGAATGATGTTGTAACAGCTGTCTCGTCGCGACTCAGTCGCGACGAGACAGCTGTTACAACATAAGTAAGAAACTGGCAAAAGCAAAAAGTGTTGTTCAGTTCGCTATTACACGGGTCATGCCAATATTGAAATTCGCCATTGTACAAGTCATGCTCTCGCGACAATCCAGCCGCGCCGCGCGTGTTCCGCCGGGGAACGGAACTTACCTACCCTAACGACTTGCCGCCATAACCATGGGGGTGATGAGGTGTCAGCAACGCTAATTAGCGCCTTATGCAGAACCGATCTCTATACACAGTAAGCCCCGTACTCATCCAACAGCGCATGAACCCCTAATTTCGCTGCAATTTCGAAGTGAAACTTCGGTATCGATATATGCCCGTTTAGGAGAAAGGTTTCTAAGATGTTCTAAGGCTTCTTTAAAATGCTTTTCCCAAACATCAGCATCTCTTTTCAATTCGCCGAATTTGCAAACTTTTTTATGTAATTTTTACAATAAATTTCATTGTGAATTTGGAAGAACTGGAAAAGTAACGAAAAAAATCTGCTTTGTTTAGAGAAATCGGGTGGATCCAAAATACGTCAAATTATTATATTCCAACATATTCGATCCAAAAAACACCAATGCTCTACAGCTGAAAATGACTCCGGACTCATCAGCTCTGCCAATGCTAGTTAGTGTTGCTGACAACTCATGATACCGAAGGCACAATGCGGCAAGTCTTTTGGGTAGGTAAGTTCCCTCGCCCTGGTCCGCCGCGTTTGAGCAGTCCGTGCGTTCAACGAATCAACTACACCTACTGTCGTCTTCCGCTGCCCTTCCCCTCCCTGCTGAAACCTCATCAGGCTCAACCCGTGCCCACGCATCTGATGCGTGCATGGATGTGTCCCGGCTGTTAGAACCTAACGGCTGGTTGACACTGTTAGTGCACGTGCTTCAAAGGAGATGGACGCACTCCGTTCCCGTGCATGGGTTTGGTTGTCAGCGTAAGAGTAATTTGTGTCAAAGCGAAATCAAAGGATGTGGGTGTGGGGACAGCATCAGTGCATCGAGTACAACAGATTCGCCGTAGTTTGTGGGAATCACATTACATAGTACAATTCAACTACGTGTGCACTCAGCCCGGGTTGTCGTATTAGCCACATTGGTACCGTCGTTCTATCACAGTCCTATGCCATTCTCACACAGCAATGTCTGTACACAGCAGCTGTTTCGACTTTTGTAGTGTCATTCCCACTAACAAAGTTCTTGTATGCGATGCAATGTCCTTTGAGTTAGAGCTTTGTTTGGTAGACCTGCACTTAACTAGTGCTAGCGCAGTTGTCGAAAGCATAAGAACTATGGCAAATAGTTAAACCTTGGACAATTTGTTTCCATGATGGCAACTGATTCTATGATGAGATCATCTAAGTCCTGTAAAAGTTTCACATCGATGCCCTATAGACTGGCATACTGCCGCAAATTAGAGATGCAGAATAGAGACTAAGAGAAAGTAGTTATAAACGTTTGAAATTTGGCATTGGATATCTATTGGGTCTCTTCATGCAGTTCCGCATCGAAATTGTGCATTTGATCTCCTAGAGAGCCTCCCAGAGTACTGTTGAAAGCTGGACCACAAGATGCCTTGAGGACTCATTAATACTGTTAATCCATAAGAAAACTGATGAACAATTCAAGAGTGAATAAATCGCGAAATAAATCAACCTATCCTATAGATTCATGCTGTGCACTTATCGTATTGATTCATACCTCCCTGGCTGTTCAAATCATATTATCTAGCGAAGGAAGTACTACGCACCCGATTACATATGGATTTTGTCCAGCAAGAGTAATCGCCAAATGACTGCAATACGATACGCCATCCTGTTTGTGTTTTTCTCCTGCACACCGATATCGAATGGGATGTTGACTACGATGACTTGCGTTTCCGGCACATTCGCCAAACTCTTCGTGTAAATTAGTTCTGACAGTCGCAGAGAACGAGATAATCTTTGTTCGTTTTCGCCTTCGTTTTGATAATTTGATGTGAAAACCGTTCCGATCGTGACTTCATGGAAAGTAGCTGCTGTATTTTATAGGCCAATTCTCGACGAACATGTGTGTATAGACATTTTTTAACATAGAGATACTTCATACCTAACGTTTTCAACTTGGTAGCGAGGAACACCTTGATGAAATGGCCCCATATATGTGCGTTCTTCTCTAGTTGCCTCCATCGCCGAAGATCCATAATTTGTTCTTACCAAGTACAAATAGATTCAAAGACATCAGTGTTTTCGAATTACGCCTTCCCAATCTGGTTCATCACCGAAGCGTCATAGGAAAGTTAGTGTCGAACGAAGTCCATCTTCCTTGGCCTTGTTTTCTTTTTTCAACAAATCGCCACTATCTTTGACGTACCGCTGCTATATACCACATCTTTTAGTTTTGTTATAGAACGAATCCAACTGAAGATTTAGGCCTTTAGCCGAATCCCAAGCATAAGTCGTTCCATTGCTCTCCAGCATCGGTGCAATTTTAGCATCGACTTTCTGGGAGTTGCTCAAGTCTCACAGATGTTGGAATCCCGTTTAAGTATCGTCTACTGTAAGTGGCTTATCTGGTCTGCTGATTGCTTGATGACAAAAACATGTTATAATTATTTCTTGTTTTTATTTGGAACAGTGGAGTGAAATTTTCGAGTACATGCTGCGACCTCTTTGGAGCCTTGTAAAACTTCTCACTTCCACATTGGTTCCACTATACAAACTTCCCAAAACTGACGGACTGGTCGTTCTCTCGATGGCTATCATGGACAACAACAGCGAGTGTAACGAAAACAATCCGCTGTCGTTGAAATGCATCTCAGCCTTGTGTACCTGCCCCAACGGGCTGGATTCAGCCTGTTTGGAAGAGATTACGCTCGCATAGCCATACCGGCCATAATTACCGCTGATGGACTGCCCTGCTTAGTTTTGCAGCTTACTGTAGATCGTTGTGCCCACTTAAACCTTTATTACTGGTATTCTACTTGAGCTCAGAAAAAAAAAAGTTTCCGGTATACTCAGCCACTTTCTCGCCTTATGACTCTTCTATATCATAAATGGCAAATTTCTTCTTACTCCAGTTTTTATCGCCATTGCGAAGTTATGACGTAGTTGTTGGCATTTTGCTCATGCATAAGTTTATAAGTAGATGTTACGTACTTCCGCATAGGCAAAATGAGAGCGCGTGCTTATCTAAAACCTTCTTTACTACCAGATTCTCACATCCAACCTTTCAGTTCCAAGACAAGGCTGGTACGGTTTGACAGAAGAATCCATTGATCCACAGAGAAAGAATTTTGAATTCTCTGACATATGAAGTCTACTCAATAGATTTTGAAAGCAATTTGAGATATATCGATATAGAATTTTTTCTTTCATTTCTATCTAATTTGCTAAAAGTCCACCATTATTGCAGTTGTAAACTATCCATTTAACTGCGCAGATTCACTAGACAGGTTAAACAAAAGTATCTGTACACTTTTGTTCGTCATAAATCTTTGTTTTGATGTCTCTAGATCTTTGGGTCCTGTGGCTAAAAATAGTCCACTTGGATTTACAAGGAGCGAACCACCTACCGTATTCCATTTGTAGGGTTACGGTAATTTTCGGTCTACACCATCAATGTCAATTAGCTGAAAAAGGAACTTACTACTTGCTAAGGCATTTGGATGGTTTAATCAAATTTTGGAATAATGCGAAGATAGTTATAGGTATATCTGGCATGATTTTATAAACGTAACAGTGCGGATGACTTTGACTTTCTAGTGTAAGATTTCTAAGTTCACCCTCTTCAGATTTCCCGCCGTAATCTTACAGCAATGAAGAGCGAACGCTCTCTGTTATTCGTATACTGGTTATCGGAGTTGAAGCCAGCTCTACAAAATGGATAAAGAACGGCGAAAAGCACTGGAGCAAGAAAATTATTAACGATCCAGTGCATATATGCATACCCTTGAGACAAAATGGGTGCGAACATTTTGGGAACATGTAGCTTTGCAGCGGTCGGTTCCAGCTGAATACTTCGCATTTCCTTATTCCACACACCTATCGAAAGCTATTAGAGCTGAATTGAAGAAAACATCAGCAGACACGTGGTGTGTTGTCAAGGATACGAAAGCGAAGAAACGCCTTTTTTTCACTTCCAAACCATTTCGTCGCCTTCCTATCGCTACCTACCCGACATGAGCAATAAAGGTGTTTAGTTTGGTGCTGATATAAGACTTCCACGATCAAGGAAGACACTTGAGGAAGTCAGTCTCGTTCGAACGGCGATAAGAGCGTAGACCAGAGAATGGGCGAGCGCGGGCGCCGCCGTTTTGGCCACACATCAGCGACAACGCCCAAAGAATAGTTTGCGAACGGCTGTGACGTCGCTTGCCTCGTGCGACTGCAGCTTTTGTCGGAGCGGAGACGAGCTGGCCTCGCCGCTCGTCCAGTTCCGCACGCGGACCGACGGACGCGCTCTGCGTCTGGCTTGCATTGATATCCCACTCGCGCTGAGCTCAGCCGCGCTCGCTTCGCAGCGAGCTCAGCGTCCAGCGCGGCTTCCCGTGAGTCACCGACCAGTTTCGAGTTGGTTGTTTTTCGAAAATTTCTCTCCCTTCACTAGATGTCTGAATTCATGCATATTCTTTTCTGTTTATTTCCTACTATGAAAATGCAATGAATTCTGCTTGTGTTTGGCGTTTTGCTACAAATCGATGAAAAAGCCGGCTGCGTACCTCCACAAATAATGTTCGATATTAATTCTCACTGCTTTGGCACCAAAAGCTCCATTTCTACTCGTTATTGATGTTAGCGTAAGCCGCCTTTGCTGCTACTGATAGGCGAAATTTATTCATATCAAGCATGAGCATTATATCTGTTGTCAACTACTTTTTAGTATTTGAGCCATTATAGCTCAGGAAAATATTTATCACTACTTGTATAACTGTTATTATTTATTTCCATCGCTGATGTCATAACAGACACTAATACCAGCACCATCACTTTGCTTAAACTGCACTTACTTATTTTTTGCATGAAACTTACTAGTAACTCAAACTCGATACAGCGAGAAAATATTATGTTACAACAAATGGCTCTGGGGTTCTGTTAAATAGTATGCTTTTTGATTCCGTATCGATTTTTCTGTAACCTCAACTTGCACTCATAGGGATTTGTGGGTGTTTGACGATAGATGCGATTTTATCAGATGGGCATCATATAACATACATTAATTGTTCACAAAATTTTCTTAAATATGTTCAAAATTTCAAAGGATGCATAGCAGTTAATGCATGGGTTTCTCAGTCTTCTTACCTTATGTATGCAAAGCAAAATGTGTTGAAGTTCAAAAACCCCATAGCGCTAGCAAAAGAAATTCGTAATCGTCAAACCAGCTAGTAGTAACCTCAAACAGCCAGTAAGTCATTGCACTTCGTCCGATTTTTGAAGGCTAGCATAGCACTGAACAGGGGTTGTTGGTGACAGCTGGAGAAAATCACGGCCATTGACCGTCTACCGAAATTCGTAAGGCTGAAACTAGCCAGACTCTTGTGCATGTTCTGCTTGTCTCACACTACCCTTTTCACTTTCCTCAAATTATACAATCACCTGGTAGAGGGAATAGTGACCGAAATGTATTTATAATTATTTATTTATGGCCATTCGTCTTCCATAGAAATTGATTATTTGGAAATTTCCAAGTATTTTTTCGCTTGCAACTATTTGCAAACGTTGCACAAAACAGCTGTTGTGCCGTGCCAGTCTAGAACTTTGTACGGTCTTCGAGCGTTATTCTACACAAGCTGAGTTTGCAGCATTCAGCTGATTTCCTTGTGCTCTTGGTGTTCTTTGATCCGGTCATGAACATATCGACCAAACTAAACCTGTTCGTAATTGTCTTAGCGTCTATCAAAACTCATTCGTAGAATGATTATTTTGCATCAAAACCATTTTCATTTCGGTTCGGTTCGCGACTGCTCCTCTCACTTCTCGCTACCTCTGCCTTACTTACTAGGTAAGAAATCGAAAACTTTCTAAGCTGCCTCCTCCATTCTGTCTATTCTCCATTCGACGATTCCTTTGTATCCCAGCAATTCCTATTCTTCACGCAATTCTGCACAATCTTTGAATGGATTTGTATCGCGTGGGGTGCGGAGCGTTCCTTTCAGCTGACTTTCGGCCTCTTTTTTCCGATCGCTGCTCCGTCGCTCCATCAATCACGGCGCATTCGTCATCAAAGCAAACATGCAGCTCTGTGCTGTTGAAGCTGACGATTATGGATGATGACGGAATCAGTCTGACCGTTCCCTTGATGCAATCTGTGCAAATAAGTCAATCTTAATCAAGCTCATCTAATAAAGTGCAACCAAGTCAAACTTTGGAACCAGCCATTTTTGCGCAAATCACGCAAAAAGTGAAAGTGCACTTCTTTGTTTGTAAAATGGCAGTCTCTCTTTCAGACCTAATAGTACGTACTCGCGCAACTGATCTCTTTGTTTATTTGCTTCTATCTCGTTGGTATAGCACTCATAGTCGATTGTTGTGATAGGTTCTATTCTACATAGTGTTTATTTTCTCCATTCAAATCCATTTTATTTTTGCATATGCTATAGAGCTTTCATTAAATTCGGTAAAAATGGAAAGGTCCATATTGATTCTTTCTTACTGACTGACTTTTCTTGGCGGTTTTGAGAAGTTATAGGATTGAGGGACAATCGGCCTCTTCAGTTGCAAAATTTAGAGTTGAAATGTCACTTATGTAATAATCGATTTTTTTACCGCAGGGATCTGTTGATTTAGCGCACTCAAGACATAAGTTTCTACAGTCTACTGGACTCCAAGTACACTTATCACTCTGAGAAGTTTACTTCCAAAGCCGCAGCAGTTATTCAAGTGGCTGTTATTGTTTATTAGGCTGGCCTATAAGTCATACACCAAATTATTTGCAAAGTTGGAAAGAGTTAGTGCTCAACCAACTTGTTCTATATTACTAGTGCTTTGAGCAAAAATCTTTATTGGCGTATCACGGTGAATACAAGCTGGTTAAGAGAAACACTTTGTAAGTGTTCAATTTTTGGTATCTGGAAATGCTAGAAGGTACTAGAATCCAATTTTATTGATTATGGTTTTACGCGTTATTAACCTATTCTTTTTAATTAATATTGTAAGAGAAGTCTGTGCTGAATGAATGTTTCCAGAACTAGTTATGATCTGCGATGTTTTGATTCGACATTTCAATTCCGTTTCGAATGAAATTCCTAATATGCATTTTGCACTTGCTGTACGTTACAAGAAATCAAGTATAGTTGGGAACGCTGATCCAAAGATCTTTAGATACTTTTCAGCATTTTTGGTGCAAGACTTTTAGATAATTATATTTACTGGTCAAAATGGTGAATCTTTCATTCCAAATTCTATGACACTATAGTGCTTAGAATACTCAGCATCCTGGACTTGCTCAATTTTTTCGATTACCAGTCGTTCTTTGTGAGGAATCTTTGCACGCAATGCATCCACCATCAATCTGAACACCAAACAAAAGTTTTATAGGGGCGAGAACCAGGGTCGATTATGTGCAATTTATTCTAATGCGTGCGTTTGGCAACGCCCATGCTCTCTCTTTCCTTCAACTCAAAAGCGCATAAACGGAGCACCTGACCACATGCAGACTCAGCTTTATTCAAGCACCAGTGACTGTGCTGTTTCTTCTTAGCTAATGCAAATGCTCTCTTCATCACTATTAACAGAAAGCATGCTAACTATAGTTCATGGTATTTATCGGGTACCTCTGACAAAATTTTGCTGGGCTAGAGTGAAGCATATCCATCAAGACAAAAATCAACAAGAGAGTACTCTCATTCTAGAACATCAAACATTTTTAGGATAGAAAGGACTTCATTAGCATTTTATGATCAATTTTTACCTCAAGGCTCATCTATTTTTGAGGATGGTCACAATAGATTTGCTGAAGCTTAGAAAATCAGTCCAAAAGCAACTGTTCCATCAATTATTCTGTCTCAAAATTCATATGATTTTCTCAGAGTTTCTAGTGTGATTGTCGAAGCCCCTAAACTTTGAGCTTTTTTGCTTGCATCACACTTCATTTTTTATTTGCTATGTAACCTTGCAAATTTTATTATTTTTTATTTGCTATGCAACCTTGCAAATTTTATTACTTTCCGTAGTCATACATTTGCATTTACACATTTTCAAACCTATTCTGTATCAGTTGCCCTTTCGGCAACAATGTCGCTTGACTTCCGCTGCTTTTCTTCACATTTACGAATCTTAGCACAAAAAGTAGATTTTCATAACAAATATTTTAGGGAAGTGTTGCCAACGTTTCGAGATATATAAACGAATTTTTACTCTTATTTTTACAAGGCATAACGCTGTGTTTGCGTGACTGTGGACATGATCAATTCATTTCGAAGACGTGCTTTGGTAAACATCCATGGATGTGAGAAAAATGCTTTTAGTAGTCTAGTTTGTCCAGCTAGAGCTAAACAAAAACATTCTAGAATTTTACACAAAACTATTCGAATTAGGTCGCATTGTACGTGAATGATGTGATTAGCTCCAAACTCGTCATAAAACAAGGACAATAGGCTCGCATGAAATTCGCAATAACGAGTTCGGTCATCGGTTTTGGGTGTGCAAGGGTTTTTTGAGCAGAAGTTGTTGATCATCTAATTTATTGACTGCTTTCAAAGTGTTTTATTAGATCTGTGAGTGCAAGGTTGTGCACCGCAGCCAAAGATTTCATATATTGTCACTCTAAAGACTGCTTTGCTTAAGCAGCTTCCTTCGTAAAAGTCTAACCCAAAGTTTCAATCAAGGTTAACTCTTTTTACGTGCGAAAAATTACATAGAAAGTTTCATAGGGAAGCTTTTATTCAAAAAATGTTGCTGAAGCACAACAGTCTTTAGTAGCATTCACTTCCTCCCAACTCCCTTATGGTTACCAAGTAGTGGTTTATGATTGCCTACTGGAAAAGATCTTTTTACCAATTCTGCAATCACATAAATTCTCTTTTGGCTTGAAAATTATATCATTGTATTTTTCCCAATTGGCTACTTTTGAACTACAACAAGGTCGACCCGACTTCGGCAGCTTCTAATCGATATATCGATTTATTGGGCTGTACTGCTTGTCCATGTCCCGAATGGCTTCAAAGGAAAGTGTTGCCGTGTGTCACTGCATGCATTATCTATGCCATTTTTCCGAAGATCTTTCCATCAATCGTCTCTTTCTTTCTCATTTCAAGTGATTTCTATCCAACAACAGTGAACACCTTTCACCCACTATTCATTACATAAGACAAGAGTAGATTACTCGGCGGAGGTAGTAATTCTATATTACGTCAGAATTTTTTCAGCTGTGGCCGCATCATTATATGTCAAATTCTTCCAGCTGTGGTCACATGATTACACAATTATATTTGAATCTTTTCAACATTAGTACATTGATATTTTGTAGTGAGTGCGATGTCATTGAATTTGTTGTAGGAACCTGCTCCAACCAAGTTTCGGGTTACTTTTATTTGAGCACGGTTTATCTAAATCACTCAAACGTTGAGGCGTTCGGACCAAGTATAGTAAAAAGCTGTTAGTCATATGCAATAGACCGTAAACAAAATAAACAAAAACCTTATCAAGTTAACTCCCACTTGTTAGGCCCCTCTCCCTTAACTAAAAGTGAGAGCAAGGATCTAGATCGTTAGGAAATGGCTTGAGATTAGCGACAACAAGCTTGCGTACAGTCGAGTAGAGTTCTTCGCTACGTGTGCAACTGCACAATTTTTAGAATTTGGTGATACGCGGCCTCTCGGGCGAGAACATGAAAATGTCAAATCCAGTGCTTACTTAAACAGAGCTCAAGCGGGAAGATGACTAGAAAAACACAACGTATCTGGTCTTCATGGGCGACGTAAATGTGCGATTTTACGCACATCAAGGAGAGAATCCGCTCGACTGTATTCGACTGACTCGATGAATTTGTGTTCGCTTTTTGTATGCCAGCGGAAACCGTTTTTCAAGTATTTGGAATGAAAGCAAACCTAATATTCCGGAAAATGGCAGTGGGCGAGACCTACTCAAGCGGTAATGTGGGAAAACAGACATTGAAGAAAATTGAGAAATATCGCGCGTTTAGTGAAATCTGACTACATAATAAATCCTAAACGAATGACATAGGTTTAGAATTTGTTATGCACTTCAACGTCACCAGCGCTTACCACTGCTTCGCTCGCTGCAGTGAACATGTATCGCATTAGCCTAACGTTGTTTTAATGCGAAATGAAGTCCCTATCGCTGGGCTGCTGTTGTTTTTGCCGGGACACGAATGCCAGCTTTCTCCATTACTGAAGCAATGCCAATGTCACTGTGTTTACGACCTCGAAGAGGAGTCATTTGTTCTTTTTGCTTACCAGAAACTGACAGAACAGCAAAGATATTACTTGTATGCAGCTATCATTATCAACCAGTCATTACCTTCTATCTCTGTTCTCCTGCCGTCCTCCTTTGCGCCAAGTACGTCTTAAATGTGTTTTTCCCATTCTTCCGCGACCACCAGGGAATCCAGCACTCCGCTGTCATCTCTAGATCGACGAACAGAAGCCATAAGGAAGATGTACATGCATTCTCAACGTCCGATAACCACACATTCCAACAGCAAGGAACAGGCGTCACATTTCAACGGCGGTCGCACGTTCTACGCTATCGTCTGTCAGATGTGATATAGTCTCATTATCTTTTTGTTTCGCTTTTCGAAAAGATTAGAGAAAATGCTCCATGACAAGACAATGCACTGATTGTCCCTGAAATTACGAGCTGTATCACATGAACATTTTTTTAGTCATGTGGGAGTAATGTCCTTTTTTTTGCCAGTACAATTCCATTGATGTTTAGCTAAGTTTCAAGAGATAGTGAGTTTGCATCAGTTGTACTTTCTTGAATACCTGTTTCCGCATATCATCTCCAGCGGTCTGTTTCCGTACAAAATTCAGGAATTCCTCAGTGATCTCTCAGAACCTGTTCCCTGTTTTTCTGCCAATTTTAGCTACGAATCAAGCTCTTCCACTCCATTTGTTTGCTCAAGGACCCGACCAGATCTCCCGCTATGTTTCTTTCCGCATCTTGACCATTCCCCCGCGTTCGGGGCAGAATTTTCGAGAAAGGTGTGAAAAACAGAGAAAGCTCTGGCAAGCTTTACCTCAGAAGTGACATAATCGCTCGGAGCGATCGATGTCTCGGCCGCTGGCCGGGAGCTGGGAACTCGACGAACGAGGAACTCGAGCGCGGATGACGACATGCCAGCGGCTCGGAGCCCTCGCGTGCGGAAGTTAATGCGCTCGGCGGCCAATTTGTTCGGATTCGATCCGGCCCGCGGCAAAAAACTGCATCGATCTCTTCCAAATTCGGCGATTTTCCCTGCTTTCGTGCTCGCTGTTGACGTCGTCTCTCCTCTCTATCTCGAGGATGGATCAGTCTTTCTGAGAGGCTTAACATTGCATGTTTTAATCGTACATAGTTTTTACAGAAACTCATCTTTAATCTCCGCAGATTCAACGTAAATGTTTTTGTCACTTAACCACACACCTGCACAATTTCAATTTTTCAGCAAATTTGATGCAGCTGTAAATGATTAGCAGCGCTTATCTGTTTGTTTGCATACTCTGTTCAAAACTTCATTGTTCGCACAGGCGCAAAAAGAAAAGAAAACATCAACGAGTATTCATGCTATTTTCTGATTTTCTGTTACTCTTCAAACAGACTGTTCAGTGACCCAATCCTTCTGCAGAGATTTGATTGCATTTGATTGTACTATTGACTGAAAGATGTGAACCTTGTGCTATCTTTTCGATCTAGTTTAATTTTTTCCTGAAGTCCTGGTACCTGCCCCATCCCGTCTCTTTGAGAGATCTTTTCACCATTTTTGTAATGCTTTGCCCTCGCTTATCATACTTCCTTATTGTAGCGAATTTCTAGGCGTAGTTATCGTTATCTGCTTGTAGTAGGCAACGTAAAAATCACTTACTGATATTCGTTTTGCAGTGGTTTGGTCTTCAAATCTGGTGTGTCTTCCTGTCTCTTCCCACGAATCTCCGCAATTAGATGTCGATTGTAAATACAACGTGTCGAGGAGAATCTCTCTAACTTAGAGGTGCGCTTCTTAACACTTTCGCTCTCATTTATCACATTCACTTCGTGTTGCTGCATAATCCCTGATGCAAAAGGGTTTTTCTTTGTACTGCCTGTCACATCTTCACAATTGTATGTTTCCTTATCTTACAAAGAACACTCGTCGCCCATAATATCTTTTCAAAAAGAAAGACTGTCATCAATTTGGTTTGCTGTTTCGAACAACACATTAGCAATCCAGATGGCTGCCGACCCGGCAACAACACGGGTGTGCTTTGCTGTGGATGTGGAGGACGTTGACCCATCGTCTTTCGTACTCGTCACCGGCTCTACGGCCTCTCTCGGACAATGGGATCCCCTCAAGGCGATGACCCTCACTCAGGATGCCGACAGACCGTAAGCTTTGCTTGCTCTTGTTATGTGGACCAGACTTTTTCATTTTGGCGAGGGGTCTTGACAGTAGAATTCGTTGTAAAGATATAGGGCCCTGCTTGATCGCGAGAGCGATAAGTTTGCGGGCATTGCTCGTGCATTGAGCTTTCTCAGTTCTCTTTCTTCTTTCAAATGCTTCTTGCTATCATGTGTTAGCTCTCAATTAAAGCGATGCTGAAAAATACGGGGCTGTTTGATTGATTTGAAGCCTTGCGGCATCCAGCGTGTGCAATGGCTGCAAACTCACCGACTGTCGCGATCACGCAGATTGCTATAGGGATCGTTCATACCGCGCACAAAGGCGGACGAAGGCGGACGAAGCCGGACAAAGCCGGACAAAGGCGGACGAAGCCGGACAAAGCCGGACGAAGCCGGACGAAGGCGGACGAACTGCCAAAGCGCAGGTATCTGCCGGCGAAGTGCCATCATGTTTGCAGACTTCAGGTGAGTTTTAATGCTTTGCTTTTTCTTATACTTTGGGAGTTTTTCTTTTCCTTTTTGTTCCATGTGTGAGTGTGTGTGGTGTCTGAGTGTATGTGTTTATGTGTTGTGCATTGAGTGTTGTGTTTGTGAGTGTATGTGTGTGGAACAAAAAGGAAAAGAAAAACTTCCAAAGTATAAGAAAAAGCAAAGCATTAAAACTCACCTGAAGTCTGCAAACATGATGGCACTTCGCCGGCAGATACCTGCGCTTTGGCAGTTCGTCCGCCTTCGTCCGGCTTCGTCCGCCTTTGTCCGGCTTTGTCCGGCTTCGTCCGCCTTCGTCCGCCTTTGTGCGCGGTATGAACGATCCCATAGCAGCATTACGAACCTATTTTTGCTCGAAATTGCAAGTGGTTTTCTCCATCGGCAACAGGCTGTTACATCGTCAGTCGCAAGGTGCGGTTACTGTTTCCTTTGCCTCATTTGGATAGTTGAAAGTTGAAAAATAAATGACATCATTTTTGACATAAAATCTGCTATGAGCTTGCCTTCATCATGGCCAAAATGAAAACGGTTGGTCAAAAATTTGCAGTATGATGGGCTGTCTTAGAACCGGATGTCTTTTGTGTGATCTCGGTGAAGGCATCGTAGATTTTCCCTATTTACCTCACCACCTTTCTGTTTTGTCGCCTTGTCGAGCAAGTCATCCCTTCTGATCTTCGTTGTTGGAGCTGCAGCCTTGCTAGTCATTTCCTTTCTTCCAAATGACCACAAAAATCATTAACCTTTGAGATAGCCCATCATATTTTCATCGTTCAGTGAACTTATATCTGTTTTTTTCAGTACTCGTTGGCGTGGTTTCGTGGACACAACGGACGATGAAGTCCGTTTCCGATATTTCATTGGATACTTTCTGAGTTCCGAGCAGGGGCAGCGTCTAATCATAGGTGAAGCCGTGTCCCACTCCGTAACCATAGTCCAAAATCCACCCTAAAATGAGTGTCGACGTCGTTTGAAGTGAGTATTGCACGCTGATGCACATTGTGTTGTTCACTGTCAATGTGATGTTCGACACTCTCTGCTGTGCAACCCACAGTTCAACTACAGCGGCCAGTGCAAATTGGCGTTTGCGCACGAACTAGTAGATTTTATCGAGGGTCACCAGTGGTCAGATTGGCCGGTGCTTTCCTCTGCCTGCCCGTACTACCTCACCCGTGCTGATAGGCGTAAGGATATTTTTTGATGTTTGGTAAATTTTTTGCAATATTTAGCAGTCCTTTACTTTTGAATGTCAAACTTACTTCATGATTACGCTGTCAGACTACGACTGTGCATCACCATTTGGATGCAAACTTGTGCATGGGTGTAGTAAAACCGGCTCTCAGCGTTTCTTTTTTAGTGGTATCAATGCGTGTCTGCCTGGCAGTGAAATCGTTCTATTTTTGACCTCAAAAATCTCGAAGACCCTTTGGTACTAGATCTTACGTCTTTATGATTCTCTCGATGGTCGCCGTATACACAAACAATTTATATTTGTTTTTTCTTCACAGTGTATCTGAGCTTCATTCTTATCTGTTTATGACTTTCTTTAACTCTATCTTAATTTTTGTGATGGGCATTTCCGAACTTGGTCCTTGCGGGGATCACTATTTTTTCTTATGCTTAAACACGTGATTGCAGATAGATGGGAATCTTTCCTCAATCCGCGATGCTGTGTTATTAAAGCGGAACACAAGGGTACAACACGCAGGGCAAATCATGTTGATCTTTTTGGGTACTTCGGTTAGTGGAAGTTACAAAACCTAGGCATTCAGTTTAAAATTTGATTTATAGCCGGGCACAAAGTTCTGTCAGAGGGATGGTTACAGTATGATGATGAAAATCAGATCCTTCTCCGACTTCATGGGAACGCTCTCAAGTTTTATAAGTCGGCAAAAGAGCGAAAGAATTGTACAGTGAGGATTAATCCCATGGATGTCCGTCAACGTTTGGTAAGCACCAAACAAATGGAAGTTAGTGATTTTGAGAAGACTTCGAAGCTATTCCACGGAAGATGATCATTTACAAATTTTCAGAGAGGCGGAGCTCACATAAGTTTTAGTTATGGTGTGGATGAAGAAGATGATGAAGACGATGCAAACGCACTCCCTTATCCTAGCCATTCTTCGATTTCCGTTGCGGTAAGCATTTTATTTTTATCGACTTGCTTCGCGTCAACTCTGAAATTAAGACTATTTTTAGGTTCTTTCGGACAAAAATCCCAAATTCAGACCTCAACCAGATGTTGGGATAACCTTTAACAACAACAAAGATTACGTCGTTTACAAGACGCACTCTGTTGCTGTGGAGTTCCTCGTACGTTTTTCCTGTCATTGTTTCTCATTAGAATGTCGAGGAATAATGCTTTGCGTGCCTTTTTCAAGAATTACCACAAATTCTAGTGACAAGTTTAGACTGAGTTGCCATATCTGTAATCGATGCGTAAGCATTCTTAGTATATCATCTTTTCTACGGGGACACTTGAGAATGGCATACCCCTCACAGTTGAGTCTTCTCGTTTTCTTCTAAAAGGCAACGTCCGCTAATACTTAATGGGATAGAGTGTACTTCACACGAGATCAGTGCATGTAAGAAACGAAGATTGGTTGAGTCTTAAGATGATGCAAGCGATGACGTCACTTGGCAGAACTGGTGATGGCGTGAGCTTATATCACACATCTCTGCCGTAAGCTGTGAATAAAAACTATCACGTGTCTAATTTCGCAAATTAGCTCACTATCTCTAGAACTTCTTGCCTACAATACCCAATTACCCAGGGTACGGCACAGGGATCGAAACACATGAATGAAGCGCATTCTTTCGAATTCGTGTAAGAAAGCATGTCCAAATTAGCGTATAAACTGGCACTTTAGCTCTCTTAGTACCCGAGTTCTCAATATAAGACCATTTATTTTAGGCATTTTATATCGAGATCTTCTCAGAGGAGGGGAAAAGGATTGGTGCTTGCTATGCTCTACCGTCTTCACTCACTGACTCCTGTGGCCTTTCGCAACTGCCTTTCATCAACTCATCTGGAAGACCGATTGGACAGATAACTGGTGTGTGTTTACTGAGAGGGTATTTTCAGCTCATGTTTAGTATTTTAGTGGAATACCTGTTCGTGAGAAACCTTCGTCGACCTGTTCCTACGCAGAACATGGAGGTGTCATACAGTAGGCATTGGAAGAAAAGAAACACCATAGAAGTGGGTCACCGTGGCGCTGGAAACTCCTACACAAAGTTAGTTTTGGTCCATTAATCGAGATAACCGGTGCTATATAGAAAACCGAATCATTTTTGAAAACGAGCCATGAAGTCAGCAACGATAGTGGACCCATTATTGTGCTCTGCGTCGAGTGCGCGGTTCACAAAATTATATATTAGGCTTTCGTTTCTACTTAAAGCATTTTTTGCTTACATATGTTAGCTTCTCTAGACTTGGGGCTTATCAGTTTGAACACCACGTGATAACTTCGGTTTAGGGCCTTGGAATGTTATAGTGGGTGCAAAGGTTGTAGACAAGTTACTTTTTATTGTTTAGGCCCTATTTTGGGATTGATAATGGCACTTACTTAATTGCAGTACTCATCATACATTTTTTGACTTGCGTCGGGTAAACAAGCATGACATTCATGTCATAAATTTGCTTTATTTCCATAATAAGCAACTGAGCGCTTGCTGTGCATGTTATCTTTCTGCTGAAATGTGAGTAATGGCAGATCAGTTCACAGTGATAGAATCTCAACTGAGTGGTCGCAAATGATGGCGACTATCGTTTCTTGCGATATTGAAAAGATGGCACTCGTTGGATAACGAAAGCGATCTTTTCTATGAATCTTTGATCTTCTGTGCTTTTACTACATACACATCAAGCCATAGTTATATAATTTTTCCTAGATCATCTCTGTAATTGATGTCAGCAGCAACACATCCACTCATTTCAGGTTTGCAGCCGCTCGTGAAAACACTATCTTCTCGCTCAATACTGCTGCAAAAAATGGAGCTGATTACGTTGAGTTCGACGTACAACTGACGAAGGATAAGGTGAGCAAACGCGTTCCTTCCCCTAATCTTCTTGTTCACTTGCGTTAAGTCTCCGCTAATTCTGCATGTCAAAATCCTGTGAAAACTTACATCTTTTGAGTACATGTATTGTCCGTAGTCTGTTCTTTGGAGATTGGTGTATTTCTTCGATGGCTCACTCTGTTTATACTAGGTTTCATGAGTTTATGAAGTTTTCATCTCATAAAGCGGTTGATTTACCATTCAAAAGAGCCAGTTTCGCTCGAAAAGGCCTTTTTTCATTTTCATTTTTTTCATTTCCAACCTAAGGCCCTTTGTTTTACAGCTTCTCATAGCAAACTTTCTTGAGAGGTGAAATCTGCGATTTCGGCACCTGCGTCCCTCTCTTTTATATGGATATTCGCTATCGCGATTTTCATACGGAATCGTTATGAGTGAGAAACAACTCTTCATGGACCTATAGTGCATTTAAAACTAGGCTCTTTTTCCATTCAATGGTGAAGGCTCGATAGCAGGACGCGATTCTGTTGCGAAACAACACGTAAAACTCAAGCTGCAGCAGTTGAAAACAGCAACTTTTGGGAACACTTGTAGTAATCAGCATAATGGCGTGCTACCGTTTCGTCAGTATACTAACCTTGCCTCAACTAGCTTTTCCGTCTACTATTGAAAATCGGATACGGACCAAAGGCGAAAAGTACAGGTGCCGAAAGCGCTTAGAAAAACTCTGCTTTGATAGTCACGAAATAAAGGGCATCAGGTTCGCTTCGATAATGACGGATAAGTCTTGTAGAGCAAGATCGTCTCTTTCGAATGGTACAGGTAGCTTATTGTCGTAGATTAGTCGCTTTGAACCACGACAGTATGTAAGCATGTTCTTGTGCAATATTAACAATATTCACTCCTCGCTGCGTATATTCTCTTTTACCTTTCAAATCAATGTCACTGGAAAGAAGGAAGCTAACTTTTCCACCGGGTTTATGATGCATTGCAGGTTGCTGTAATCTATCACGACTTCCATGTGCTCGTCTCCGTAGCAAAACGTCATCCACCACTCCCTGAAATATTGCATCCAGCGGATGTGCACAGCGAGAAGCTCATTGAGTTTTATGAAATACCGGTGAAGGATTTGAAGCTGAGTCAGTTGAAGCTGTTGATGGTTAGTTTAGGGTTCTTTTATGTTGGAGCAGGTGTATCTGCTTTTTTTCCCGTTCTAGCTGGACCACGTAAACTATCGTCAAATGAAGGAAAAAGTCAAGAAGCTGGTTGAGGACGGTGAAGAAGAAGAAGATTTCAAACCATTTCCCACATTGATTGAGGCACTTACTAAAGTAGATCCAGATGTCGGCTTCAATGTGGAAATCAAGTACCCTATGATGCAAATTGTAAGTTTGTCCTTAAACAAAGTTCGATCACTGGAGCAATGTTCTGATTAATCTGGTCTAGAATGGAGAACACGAATGCGATCACTATTTTGAGCGGAATGAGTTTATCGACGTCATCTTGGCTGACCTGCTCAATAATGCTGGCAATAGGAGGATCATGTTCTCCAGTTTCGATCCGGACATCTGTTCTTTGTGAGTTGTTCGCTTGAATATTGACAGCGAGGGTATACAGATTAGAGTAGGGGCATTGCCATGATTGATTTAAAAAAAAGGATTTTGTGGGTATTATCAATCAAATAATCTCTTAGTTCTCCATTCAACTGTTTCAGATAAAACTCGTTTTTAGGATATCTATGAAGCAGAACAAATATCCCGTGTTGTTCCTGTGTGTTGGAGAAACACAGCGCTATACTCGGTTCCAAGATCAACGCACAAGCACTAGTCTTACTGCCGTCAATTTTGCCGCTGGAGCTGATATCATGGTAAGCAGAGTATAGGGCATTCGAAAAATCGTGACGATGGCGCGACCTCGACACGCACACCACGCACGCACTCCCAGCAACCGCTTTTCTCGCTTTCTATACTCTGGTTTTTCTGCTTACATATGATAGTGTTTAGACAATGGAAATGCTGAGCTGACGCTGGGGTGATGCCTCTTTGTTTGGGTGTTTTATGCTCTTGTGTGCGCAAAGACCGCAGTCAAACTTGTCGTCACGATTTTAAACTTATACCTACTTACATGTGGGTCTTGTGATAATCCCCTTTTTAGGGCGTGAATTTCAACTCTGAAGATCTTTTGAATGATCCATACCCGGTCAAAAGAGCTAACGACTTTCGGCTGATTACATTCGTCTGGGGAGATGATTTGGATAAAAAGGAGAATATCAATTACTTCAAAAAAGAGCTAGGGGTTGATGGTTTGATTTATGATAGGTGAGTGTTGCAGTTCTCACTGCAATGGTTCAAGTAGGACTGAACTGGAATTTCAGGATCGGCGAAGATGAGCGCCGAAGAAATGTATTTATTGTTGAACGTGAACAAAAGCGAGCTCTCTTCAAGATTAGTTCAGGGAATAATACACCTCAGAGGTAAGATTTGTTTAAATGAGAAAAGAAAGTGGAGTCGTCTTTTATAGAGACCTCCAATGTTGACTTGATTGGAGTTGGTGATCTAGACATTTTTTATAAAAAACCCGTATAATTGAAGATTTATTGAAGATTACTGGTAAGATATATTCTGACCCAAGAAATTAAGGGTGCCTTCATACCGTGCCGTCAGCCGTCGCTAGCCACGTATAGCCGCTTTTGCGCACTAACCTAGTACTCCAAGGCCTTTCTGAAACGTTAAAAGATTTTGCTATTTGTAATCAGCATGCCCAGTAAGCCCATTAAACCAAGTTTAAGCAAGATTCGTGGTTTTGATATTGGGGCCCGGATACTGGAATGGTGCGCAAAGAAGGCTAGCAGCAGCTGCCGGCGGGTATGAAGGCACTCTAAAGCCCTCTTTTTAAGCTTTTTCGATTACATGGACTAAGCCATTGTTCCATTGTAATTATTAACCCATTACTTACTGTAGCTTTTGCTTCTCATTATCTAGAGAAGAAATAACCTTTTTCTGGTAAATCGTTTCGAAACCATGCTCCTCGTATGCGAAGCTTGGGATCTGGTTCATTTTGGTCTCGCACCATCACAACTTGGTCATCCATTCACATGGTCATGTGAATGTTTTTAGCACGATTATGGTAAACTTGAGCAACATAAAATCGGAAAAATGATTTCACTTTATTTTTGATACATCTCACAAGGGTGGTACTTTCAATGGCCGCGGCGCGCTCCCGATTATGTTACGGCGCAGTGGTGAGGTGGTAGTGTCGTGGCACTAGGGTGAGAGGTCAGTGGTTCGACCTGTGGAAATCTAACCCCTTTGCATTTTGAGTGTGAGTTGGATACGCAGTTGAATTGTCTGTAGACACTTACAGTCAAGTCTTGATGGGTACGCATGAGATTCGCGAGAAGATTTTCTTCATGCGTTGTTCCGTTTGCGGACACGTCTGTGTCTTGCACATTTTCTAATGTCGTTTCCTCTGCACATGAATTTTGGGGCAGAAAAGCAAAACCTCAACAAACAGCGAGCAGGCTTACAAGGAAGTCAGGTTAAATATGGCAAAGACAACGCTGTAATTGTCTGTAGACAATTTCAAGTGTGTATCGAACTGCTCACATTCAAAATGCGAAAGCGTTCGTTCTCTATCGAACCATTGACCTCTCGCCTCCAATGCCTTTACATAACAACTACGCCTACTGCCTCGCTAAAGTGCGTAAAAGCATATTCTAACTCAATGGCCCAGAAACAGAAATTTCCAGGCGTCCATAACTCGTTTCAGAAGAGCGTTCCGCAGAAACGGAACGCAAATTTGGGTACTTTTCCGTTAGGACCCATTTTTTCATAAGGTTCTCATAACATACGTTCTTTAGTCTGAAGCAGTGGCGGTCCCAGGATTTCGATCCGGGGGGAGGGGGAGGCGCGGCAAATAATTTTTTCAATTAAAGGTGCGTGGCGTTAGCCACAACTGCGAAAAAATTTTTGGGGTGCATCTCAAAATTTTTGCGGTCCATGGTGGCTGCGGCCACGCCCCAAAATTCTTTTTTTACAAGGCTAATTCGAATTTTTAAAAAAAAATTAAAAATTACTTCAATTATTTATAAAAATAAAAAGTCATTTGCACATTTTTATAACCCTCGTAGGTAAGTTTCAAAATTGCGCGACCCATTTTCGGAGCCCCCCCCCTCACCCCCCTCCCCTCGGTCCGCCAATGGTCTAAAGATATTTTTGTAGGTTCTACGAAGATTGCCTCCCCGCCCACGTGGTCAGGAAGAATTTGACACGTTTCAGTCCATTTTGACTTTTTTTAAAATCATTTCCGGTGAGGTAAAGAAGCATTTGTGACCAACTAAAAGCCTTTCAACTATTTTCTATAAAGCAAAACTGTCTAGAACTATCGCAGAACAGCTTAATTGCTTTGTGCAATAATTCAACTTGTCTTTCTTTTCAAACTTTGTGCCATGCGATTTTAATCAAGAAAGACTATAAATGATGGCTTGCGGTATCTCGTTGCTGCTTGTTTCGCCAAGGTAATGGGATCCTATCCTCCATTCGAGGCTCATCTGATCAGTTCAATGATAACAGGATGACGTTATTATTATAACAGTGTTCACTTCTGAAGCCTTTATTTGGAAATGGGGTCATTATTGACTTAACCCATTGACGACGATGTGGACCACCGGTGGCCCACGCACTTTGCGAAATCATATCCTTCCCAGGTCTAGTATTTCTTCCAGAGTTCACCATTTTTTCCAGTTTTTTGCACTCTTGGAACCTGTAGACTTCGTCGTCCAAGAGGATGGCTGTAGTTGCTTACAAACCGTTTTTACATTTCGTAAATAACAAAACTTTCCCGCGCCGCAATTGTTGTGCAAAATCGCGTCGTCCCACAGCGCCGCCACGCAAAATTAGGCGTCGTTGTCAATGGGTTAAATACGGAATCAATTTACGTCGCTAGATAGTTAAATACATGTTAATCAAGTAGGTGGCCTGTTAAATTTTTCTTGACATGTGGCAGAAGGTTGTCCTTCCTGTGAATTTGGGAGGTACAAGAAAAAAAGCAATTTCTTTCTTTGAAAAATTGGGATGTGCTGTTGGCATCGAGAAACGTGCAAATTTCAAATATGTAGATGTTTCTATGATATTAAACGGGATCTTTCCAGAACTATATCTCCACTGGGGTCAAACAGCTCGCGATCGTCTCTGGATGATGCTTCTTTGATACACGACCATGAACATGAGGCTTTGAAAAGTTATAAGGAGATCCCTGAGATCTCCAATGACGTCGCTTTGAATCGCATCGATGTCTCACCCAAAGTGCAGGTCACTCGCTCATAGCTTTTTGCTATTTAATTAAAATTTTCTCCCCCATTTATACGCGTCATGTCCATAGCATTTGCCTTTTATGACTCACTAGTGGATTCGTATTCTTCTTCAAACATTTCTGTTTCTCATACTTTCATTCTGGTTTAGATGCTGATTGTAAGCGTCCTGTTTTAGGGACACATTTTCTGTCCAATTAGTTTCATATCTTCCTTGTGACTCAGGATACCTCAAGCGTTCGTCTCGCTTCCTTCATAATATTTTACAGTGTAATTTTTGTCGTGTTAAACACAATCATGCTATCGCACTTATAGGCGAGACACCGCTTAATTTATTTTGTATATGATCCCGTTGAGGATTACTTCGGTGTGTATTGAGGTGTTTTACCCCTTTTACCATAAACTTTAGTGGCTGCTTTTCTACGAAGTGCATCTTCGTGCAGGCGATTTGGGAGATTTGCAGAGGTTTAGCGTTTGTTGTGTGTTGATGTGATATATGCCCTTTGCTGTTTACGCGCCGTGCGTACGCTGCCAGTGCAATAATGGCGAGCCGTGTGCCTAAATTGCGTGTCTTGTGCTTGCTCTCGACCGCATAGCGAGATTAGAGCTGCTCTTCACAAGAGATGAACCGTATCCCGCTGATCGCGACAGGTGTCCAACATCGCGAACACGATTGCGTAAGAACACTGCTGTCACGAATCGTGTACGGCAAGAAAATCTCAAATATACATGCATTCGTTGTTAAGCCAAGGCAATGGTTATTAAGAGAAGTGCGACAGGGAGGAGAAATCTTTGAACAGAGACGACACTCCCAGGTACTTGTGGTACTCGTTTTATTCTGTGAAGATCTCGGTTTGATATGTCTTTCAGTTCCATTTAAATAAATCATGATTCAACAAAAAGTCTACAAATCTACATATTACACACCTAGGTTCAAATGAGCACTTTGGCAAATTGTTTGTGTCCAATTTTGCATAATGGATAGTGAGTACTGTGTTAATAACCCAGTGACCGTAAAACAGCGGGCATTAACTGCGGATAGCATATGTCTCGCATGAGGCACGCACACCCACACAAAGGCGGAGACATCACATGCTCTGTGCATTTTTTTTCGATCATGGCACCTGCGTTAACAGCGCTGTTAATGTGCATATAGTAAGTGTCTTCAGGGAGTTTTTTAGATGTGAACCAAAGGCGAACAGTTTGAATGCGTTCATAGAAGAGAAAGGTTAAAAATACCGAAAGCGCAAAAAACTTTTTTTGATGATCTTTTTGCTACACCAAATGATCTAAGAAGCTTGTTAAGGAGCTCAAATCACATTATTCATCGTGAATGCGCTCATGGCCGTCAGCCAGCTTCCGGTCGACATCCGATGAGTGCGTTGTGTGGTGTCTGATTGTTTCCCAATCAGCGTCCGTAACCTGCTATTATCTGGCTACTAATTGGGAGTCATCCGAAAACAGCAACGTATGTCCATGAAGCATGATATTTAGCATCAAATCTCAGCCAAACAATTAATCTCATTCATTTCTGAGTAGATCTATCAAATAACCAAAGAAACCAATGCAGCTGTGGCACTAACAACAACCGTCACTTCAAGAATTTAGATGCCTGTTGTGCCGTTGAGTTTTCGTGTAACTGGATAGAATATGAGTCGATGAATGCTGACCTAGGAAGTACAAAAGAAAACCGAGTTCAGCGAACGTCACTCAAAAAATAAGTGTCACAATGTTGTGTATGAATCATTGATACCATTAGGTGATGCTGACGAAGCCATTGGCCGAGAACATGTTTCGTTTATTTTCTCATCATTGAATGTTTACAAATGCGGGTGTTTGGCAGGTAAAAGTCGGATACGTTAAAAAAAAGTGCACTTGAATAAAGAAAGTGAGAACACCTTTTTTTTCTAATGTGTACTTCAATGTACACAAAGTAGAGCGGCAAGTAGCAGTGTCAGTTCGAGAATGTTTTTTTTGTAAGAGAGAGCGAGGCCTGTTTCAAAGGGAAAGGCACTTAGCCAGGCACCAAAATTCTCTCGGACGGTTTCCAGAATTGAAGGCTTTCATCCAGCGCCAGCCACGCTCCAAATTTTTTCACGAAGCTAGTTCATATCAAAAAATCTGTTTTCCAAAAGTAACTGCGATTATTTTTGTGGAAGCAACTTGCTCGTTACCAACGGTGCATAAGTAGTATTAGTACATAAGTCTTGCTCTACAAATTACAAAAAAATCGTTTGAAGATAAAAGAATGGTCGTTTGAATGCCTAAAAACGCCTATCAATAAATGCAACATAATCTTTGTGATGGATTATGAAGGTGCTTGCAGTATTAGAGAACTGACCTACACAATCAAAATTTTGCTTATAGAACTAAGATCAGGAGGTTCGAGGTAACATTGAGGTAACGACCGAATTTTGAGAAAAGCACAATCAGTAGGACTTCGACGACTTCAAGAGATCATCTTAAAAGTCTTCATACTTTGATGCCTGGATTCGTCGGAAGAATCCCTACAAAAAATTTTTGATTTGTAGATGTTTTGGTAGCCATGTTCAGTCATCAAGGATGAGTACGATGGAGTAGTGCTTGCGATCTAGTAAAAGGATGTAAGACTATCACTATTTGATACTTGAGTGTGATTACTATCAGAGAGGTTAAAGAAAATAGTTCTGGGAAGTGAAACAGACCAATACGTTGTTTCCAAAAACATCGGGGGCAGTAGGCATTTACAAAATTTTTATTGCTGGCAGCGCATCATGCTGCTTTGAATTTTTCAACCCTTAAATTTTTTACTGTTATATTTTTTAGCAGACAATCAAAAACAAGTACTAGATTATTTGATAAATGCGATGGACAAAAATGGCGCTTTGTAGTTCTGATCAGTATTCCATCGCAAGATCTGCATCTGCCTCGAGTTCATCTTAAAGGGAAACTCTTGTAAAGAACCACGTTGCCTTTCTGTAAGGTACAAACTCTTGCAGAAGCGCAGACATGATGACATAATCCCCAGGGAATCCGAGAATATGACCATGTTTCGATGATCGGATAATTCCATATTAATAACCGCTGACGGCGGTCAATTGAATGAGGCATATTGCAACACAAATTAGCCGCTTCTGAACGACCAGGCCGCCTCTCGAGAAGGGCCCCGACAGCGGCTCCAGATGGACCCGTTGCTACCTTGGAAAAGTGCGGTCACCGCGTCCTCTCCCATAATTGAGTCGTCGTTTCGTGGGTGATGGTCACAGTTGTAAATCAAGCGGAGAATGAGCACTCGAGAGGAGGTTGCTGCCTACATTACAGTGCGGGAATGAGGGCTCATTTGACCCGCAAATGCTACCCGAGTCTCGAACATTATTGGCCTCTGTCATGCGTTGGCCGCACATATATCAAGTTAATGAAATAGTGTGGGAGCGCATGCGGACTTTTAGCGATATGGGCGTTTGTCCCTTTAAAAGGCATTCTCGAATCTTGAGATACTTCGAGGCATCCCAGTTTGTTTAGATTACCCTATAATCTTACAATAAGCTTCCTTTTTTGACCCAGGTAACTCCGTCTTCAGTTGAGCTCTTCCTACTGATAAGTCCTTCTCTTCTATTATAGCTACCCTGAAATTTTATCAGATGAGTCTGAAACGCACTTATTTATAGACGGTCTTATCTGCGGAAGGCCCTATCCGTGAGAAGCATGTATCTTTTAGCATAAAAGTAGTTTTATAGATTCTTCCCAGGTAGATGAGGTTACAGTACCCCTGGTGCTCTGAGGAGGTCTCAAGGGTGTATCGGATACTCGTTAGACATCGCTTCAGTGAATTCGACCTCGATCGTTCGAGAGCACTTTTTGTTCTCGGTGCGCGTCCTTCCGAGTGTTTCCTTTCTCGGCACCCGGTTCCACCCCCTCTGTCTTATACGCGGGCCTATCATAACCGTCCATTATTAATGTGGTAATATCGAGGCGGTACTCATTGATGTGCCGAAAGCCGCCGACCATACAGTAGTCTACTCGAGAATAATAAAGGCACATCATACGATGAAGGCACCGTAGCAATAACCCGTCTTCGACAGAGAGGTTTTTTTGTATTGTGAACAGCATATAGAGAATTTAGAGATGCTGCTCTACGAATGGGGCAGAGATTTCCCCAAACGAAGAAGACCCAGCTGTCGACTTGGCGCTTATGATGCAATCCACGGCGAGCTGATTATATTGCTCAATTCATTTATGTAGCAAAGACTGAGCCTTCCGCTGAACAACTGAAGCGTCTGCTCCACTATAGGTCGCATTTCACATTGAGAAGAATTATAGTGGCCCGCGAGTCTGCGGGTCCAAAAAACAAGAAAAAACTATTCTTATTGGAGAAAATTGTAATCCTTTTTAATCGAACGCAGAAGATAATTCTTTGGAAAGTGTTTTCGACTCAGACCGTGCAGTGCAAATGTCATGTACCATGCATTTGCCAACCATCGAGCTCCCTGAAGCGGAACTCTTTAGCGCAGCAGCTGGCGACGTCTTGCAAAATGTTTATTTGAAGAAGTTGGCAAGCGATGTCAATAATTAGCCTTTGATTCCCCGCGGTTAATTTTTCATAGTGTAATCTGATTGAGTTTTCTTTTTCATGGGACGAAAGGCACATACGTCTAATACTAGCTCTTGAATTTTGGGATAAGAAAAATATGGAGCAAAAAATACACGATTGCAATGAAATAGCTTTTTTTCTGTATATAGAGCGCAGTAGATTGGGCTCAAGTAAATGCGCGGTCACAAGCCACTCCATCTTTAGCAGATTAATGTCATTCTCTCGAAACGACAACTGATCGTCAACTAATCCAAGTAGGAGTGAATGCACAGGGGGGGGGGGGGGAAAGAGGAGAGTCTTATCTCATCGTTTACAAAAAAAGAAAAACCTCATCTCAGTGCGCTATACCAATGGTCTTTATCAAAAACATATCCTCGCTAGACATATCCCATATCAAATCAAACAGTTTTCATTCCACAGTTGCCAAAAAAATGATCTTCTCCAAGCGGAACCAATCAGTCCCAAAGTTCCTCCTGAAAATCACCAATAAATAATGTTGCCGCCTTTGTCGAACGGCTCACAATGTGCACCTCATTTGCTGTAACATTCGGAGAACAGGTGAGAGGATTGTTGTGCACGGTGTCCTGTTGTGTAGCTGAGAGGTTATGTTGATGATAGATGGATGTTCGATCCAGTGTAACAATCCACTCCATCTTGCCGTCACCAAAAACAACATGTGTAAATCTCAAAGGATTTCGTGGATTGCAAAAGCTCTGAGATTTGTCGAAGCAAGCAGGTAGGGAAATTTCTATTTGGCCTTATCAAAATGATCTTTTGTGTGTAATTTCCAGATAACGCAATTTTTTCATAACAAAATTGAGGATTTGCCAAAAATGTAGGTGAGTTCAAGAATAATATTTATTAGAAGATAAGATTGGAGTTTATACCTACTTGATGTGGGCTTTTGAAAGAGCGATGCAGTTGTTGTAAGACTCACTACAATCAAAGCCTTTCTGAAGGGACTATCAATTTTTTTCAAATCCGCAATACTGACATATGTCCCTTGGCGGACCCAAGAAGGAGGCAAATGGGTCGAGAAAGATCTGAAAGTTGCCTACATGAAATCATAAAATTGCGCAGATGAATTGTATTGTGAATAATCAGAAAAACTCTTCGAACTTTCTTGAAAATTCAAATTGGCCTCACCGCCCCTTTTTCTGAGATTCTGAGGATAAGGCCATAGGCTCGCAAAAGTTGAAGCATTTCAATAAGTTTTCCGAAGCGTGGATGATGCCTCATCCGGAAAAAATTTTCTGTGCTCCCTCCTGAAAAAAACCTGCGACCGCCATCAATATGCCCTCACTTTACTGTGTTTCACAGCAGCCGTGAATTAATTCGAAGAAATCTGACGAGTGCAGAACAATGTAGCGTTGCTAGTATCCAAGAGCAAAGACCTTGTAAAGTTACCTGCAATCTGTCTTACCAACAGTGCGATGATGACTGATGAAGAGGCCGTTGGCATACACTTTTATTGCTCGCAAGATTTACGGCATCGATAGTGGCTGCTGGCCTAGCCCGGATCCGCGAGGTCCAACTTGGCGGCGATGATCGACGAGTTTTTGATGTCCGGTCGTTTTTGAGATCTAGAGAGATTCATGCTACCCTGAGAATCCGCACATGCAACCTCCAAAAATGCCCTGCGGTTGGAAGAGTCCGTCGCGACTTTGTGCACCCTCGTCTGGCGCCGCGCATCCGAGCTAATTAGGGGGCGGAGCGCATATTGTAGGCGTGAGGGCACTCGGGCAGCAGTGACCACTGGCCTCGATTTCATTTGTCCACTTCGGATCGGACATTTACCTTCTTTGACCTTACCTCATCTGCTCCCCTTCGGAATTCTTTTCTCTGCTGTTGATTTCGTGAGAAGCTTGCTCATGGTCTTTTCCACCAAAAAATCAGATCAAGCCATTGAAAAATGATCCAAAAACCTTTGCGTCGCAGTGTTTCAAAGATTCTCAATTCAGTTTTCGATACATTTTTTTTCAACTCGTTTTCATAAAGCTTTCTTCTTTTGCTTTCCTCCCAACTGTAGCAGAGAACATCCTGAGCATTTCCTTACTTAAGCCATGGTACATTGTCAATTTTTCTGTGACTGATGGAGCAAAGTGGATGGATGCTTCAGTTTCTTTCCATGTCCTAAGCCATTCTGATATTATGCGTGTGACATATCAACTTCTTGATCCCGAAATCCTCTCGACCTCGCTAAAGTAACGTGCGATTCGGAGCCACATACATTCTGCGATAATCCCTTTACGCGTGATGATTAGATTCGTTGAGTCGCCCTCCTGAACGGTAACTTCTTCTGAGTGCACTAGTAGTGGATGCTAGCATACGAGGTAGCAAAGTTCTTGCAAACATGAAATCTTCGCTTTATGCATCTTCTTCATTCATCATTTTATCGCTTTCCGGGTTCTGCAAATGGTTCATCATCTCCGTGATTGTTTCGTTTCAGATGACCACGACGGCTTACCTCATTCCTTTTATATTCATTGCGACCTATGCTCAAGAACGACTAAAAGACCTGCCACTTGCACCTGATTACTGCAAAAACGGAGGCGCTTTCGTTAATGTAAGTTCTTCGTATGATCACTCGAAATGGTTTAACCACACAAAAATTCCAATAAGTTTCACTTACAGTCATAAATCCACTTAATACTTTCTAATTTGTTCCAAATTTGTATCCTTTTAGTTTTGGAAATGGGAACTAGTCCGTACTCCCTCTCACTGCTAAAACAAAATTCGCAAGTGTATGTATATTTTTTTTTTGACTTGTAGTTCTGGCGATGATTGAGTTCCTATTGAAATATGAATACTCAAACAGTGAAATAGAAGAAGATCCTCTCAGTGGATATCCTAGCGCAGGCAACTGTTTTCACTTCGAAATAATCGAGACAGTTTCTGAAAATTTTTGAACATTCAAGTCGACCATGTGAAAACTTTTTTTTTCTCAAGAGCTTGTTGCAGCCATGTTCCTTCTTCGTAAGTTTCGGAGTTACAGTCCCGCTAAAATTTTCAAAAACATCCTGAGAATTTTTTTGGAGGGCCGGCACGCGCTAGCCGCTTCATTGTGAAAAAGAAACCTTGGAAAAAATTTTTCCCACCGCCACTGTTGCCTTGTATCCTCACTCAAAGTCCATGAATAGGAAGAAGAGCTTCGATTGAACACCTTTGATAGGAAAATAAGAATTTTTGTGAGCGCGTTGTCCGCAATGAGCCATTCGCCCATAACAACGGACAGACATCGTCGGCGTTTCAAGGTCCAGTGGGTTGGCATCTGGTGAGATGTACCGCGGTTGTCAAAAATGGGTGCGGCCTGCTCGGACACCTGGCGAGAGTGTTCGAGTGCGTGCGTGGGAATCAAAGAAGTGCACATGGAGGGGGATTAGCTTTTTTGATTGGCCCGGATTAACCTGTACGCGTCGGGATTATAGCGCTTGGCCGACAAGTGTTCACCGCGCAAAGTAACTGCATACAAGTACGCATAATGACAGAGTTGCAGGTTAATTCCAAAATTGGGCAATGGTAGGGGGCAACAGAACGCTGCAAACCTTCATCTTCCCGCCTTTCTCTTTCTCTTGAGCTGCATAACGAAGATCTATACTATATCAGGGTCGAGTTTCCTTTTTGGTCCACACGTTGCAAGGCCTTAGTGCGGCCGTAAGATCTGGTCTTTGCCCACCCTCAAATGATGAGCTGGTAGAAGCTTGAAAGTTGCTTTATTCGTACCTACAAGGTACTGTCGTCTTCGATATAAATAAGAATTTAGAATCAGATGGGCATTATCTAACGGTTTTGGCACAATGTCCAGAAATGTCGCGAAAGAGGCGCGAGGGCTTTGCGTTATGATCGCAAAATACGCTGCTACGGAAAAGAGAATGCGTCGTTGACACGGACTGTAGTCATAGAAAAATTCCTCGAACAACGTATCCTATGAGGGTTTTTATTGATAAAATAATCTTTGTTTGTTGTGCTTTATGCATATTTACATCAGTATTGTTTATAAATAGACTGTGCGTTTAGGGAGAATGCGTGTGTACACTTCGCTATGAAGGAAAACAATGCGAGCAGGAGAGATGTTTGAATGGAGGACGTCGCCATAAAGCCAACGGCCAGGTAGTTTACAAAAATTTGGTACTCTTGACATCAGCCTAAATTCCAGGTTCGATGTCACTGTCCTTTCGGGCTTTCTGGTGATCGCTGTGAGAAGGTCACATATTGCGAGCCGGGAAAAGGTTAATTATCACTAATTAGCATGCCTTCTCGTCGCTACACCTATGCAAAGCGACAATATGGCCATAACACATCTTGTGCTCACATTTAAAGAATTGTTTCTAGGTAAATTAGTCAACGGTAAATGCGAGTGCAGCTCAAAATGGACAGGACTATTTTGCCAGATGCGCACATGTTACAATGGTATACCAACAGGTGGAATGGTTAGTGACAATTATGATTTCCACTTTATCCCAAACATGTTTCCCACCTATGCCATCCTCTCGTAAAATAACATTCCCACTGCGTGCATCTGTGCGTCGCATAATGTTTTTAGTTCAAATATTCAACGGTTGTTTTGATATAACATTAACTTTGATTTCAGGATGGATTTTGTCTTTGCGATGTTGGATTTACTGGCCCATTCTGCGACGTACCGCTTATTTGCGAGAACGGCGGCAAAGTTACTCAGGTAAGAGTAGGGTAAAACAAGTTGAACTCTATAGGCCCTGGACAAGATGAGCAAAAAACCTAAGAGAATTGCTATGTGCTGGTTTCAGATAATATAATACCACAGTTGACCAGTAAAATTTATGGATTGATTTCCAAAGCTTTTCCAAGCTGTAGAGTCTTCAGAATCAACACTTGCCTCTCGAAAACTCCAGATCAATACCCTATTTGGTTTTGTTGTTATGCTAAAAAATGGAGAAGAATGACAGAGATTTGCATGAGCTTGGAGAGTCACGTTTTTCAAAATCAAGCAAGAAAAAACAAACAGACTGAACTCATACTTGATATTTGACTTGTACCTTTCGGTAGCATTCTTTCAAATAATCGCCACCCAAAATTCACCTCTTTCGTTAAGCTTATTTACCTCTTCAATGTCATACCTAGAACTTCACGTAAACATCTAAGCTTTTCGATGAAACTAACAAGTCCCGCTTTAGGACAACGAATGCGCTTGCCAAGCAGAATACACCGGCGAACGATGTGAACTGTGTGCCGTTGGCCATTCAATGGAAAATGGTCGATGCGTACCTGAAGTGCTGGAGTCATCGCTGATAGCGCAAACTGGCTCGTTGTCCTCAAAGCCGTTCGCATGGCCCATTGTGCTCATCGGTGGTGGAGCCGCATTGGCAGCAGTGCTGCTGATCACCATGATCACCTTGGCTGTGCGACGATGGAGTTCGAAGCCGTCCAGAGAGAACAGCGTGCATGGGCAACCTGACGCTACTGATGTTTAACACTAAGATAGATCATGAGCATTTTGGCATAATCATCTCTCGCATGTTTGTTGCGACAGCTCACCTCGATTGTTATTTTTCTTTTTCGCATGGTGCTGTTGATTAGCGCATTCCTAATCATACGTTGCAGAGCTTTTTCCTTTTCATTCCCTACCCCTGCTTTCACATTTTTTGTTCGGATGTGAATTAGACAGCCAGCATTTTCGAATCCTTTCGTTAATTTCGAGTTTTTTTGCTGGCTCAGCACATTTCCGCACTACAGCAGATCACGCATGCAGAACATATCTACAGTTTTCCTCATATCGTTCAATACAAGAAAAAATTGATTAATATCTTTCTTTCATACAATTGCGGTCCAAACTTGACTTGCAGAATGGCCAGCTAGTTCCTTGAGAATTATTTGTTTGCTCAGTCTCCCTAGAAAATTCTTTCGGAACCCGCGAAAGTCCAGGAAGTATTTAAAGATGATGTGCGAAGCTATGAGCCCTGTATCTTATTTGATTGGACTGAATTGTGATGAAAGAATGCAGCACATTCGTTCCATCTTCCCACAGAATCGGACATAAGCACAGTTTATTTTCAGTGAGCAATCTCAGTCGTTTACGAGGCAACCTCCATAAACCCTCTGTACATTTGTCGCTCACTCAGGTCTTGCATCTTCTTTCTCAGGACTGAATTTTATCAAATGCATTTACAGGTAGACTTGCGTATCATACGCTATCTATTATGTAATATTGATGCTTGTATCAACATGCAATGTTTTTGTTATACATATTCGTCGGTGAAATGAATACATAAATTGTAATTAAATTTACCTTCATTACATTAAAAAGCAATGGGGACTATTTTACAAGGATTCTCACAATTAGTAAAGCATGCAATGCAAATTATGGGTACGTTATATCGTACACCTATGCACGCATTAGTTAGTAACCGTAGATCGGGACAATGCTGGAAGGGACAATAATTATGCAGTTAACCGTAACGTTACTCAAATGTAAAGTGTTTGATCTCAAAAATGATGTGATTATGATTTCATGGAATCTCCGTCTTCACTCTGTCCGCAAATGGATCCTCCAGGAGTGGTACGCGAAGCTGGGCGTCCGTCACCAACTTCACTCCCACCAATAGAACCTGCACCAATGGAACCTCCTCCCCGTGTTAGAGTAGATGTGAATTCTTCACCTGAATTGAGTAACATATGAGCAATGTGTCGTCCTGTCAAGCAAGTGCTCTTCAATGTTCCCGTACTAATTATATCTACTATCAAACATTTTACGACATCGTTGCACCAATCAAGATATCTCGAGGGACACGCCTTAGTTTTCGCAGAACAAGCGAGAGGGCCACAATTCGCTAGAATTCCATCCAAAGATAGGAAAGGGCAAAGAATTGTATCCTGGACACGATATTTGAGAAAGACCATCTTATATATAAAGCTGAGTGTCTGTTTGTTTGTCTGTGTGTCTGTGTACGTATGATCCAAACAGATTTTTTTTGTTTCTGAAGCGATCCGGACCAAACTTGGCACACACACACTTCGGGGCGGGGCGGGTACATATGCTGCTTTTCGTCATCGACCGATTCAATTTTATCAACTCAAAGTTTGACCCACGGAGCTGAGAGTTGGCACAGGGGGGTAGGTGAGCATGCTGATTACGAATACAATATTAGTTTTTACATTTATCGATCACCTTTATCAATTCAATTGATTTCCTGCAAAGTTTAAGCTACGGGACCAGGAGTCGGCAGCACGGGGGGGGGGCATGCTGACTACGAATACAATATTAGCCTTTGGAATTATGATTACCTCTATCGATTTTATCAATTTCTTGCAAAGTTCGACCTACGGGGCTGGAAGCTGGGGGGGGGGGGAGCTAAGTGGGCACGCTGATCTAAAACAAAACAGGGTTAGGGAATTGGCATGTAGAAGTGGGCATGAGAAGGGTTGTGCAGAGATAGGGTTGGGACCTTTATCATGGTGTTAACAGGGCCAGGCTGAGCCGGGTATGTCAGCTACTACTCCATAACCTCACTTACTACCAACGATCGTTCTACCAACGCACCCGATCGCTAGGATGAATACAGAATTTGAGATGTGTACTACTGTATTACTGTACTGTAGACTATAATAACGCACCTCTCGTTAATGAAGTATTGCTACCAAATCTTCTCATATCACGCGAATTCATGAAGCGCCGATCGCCTGCTACTGCCGCACGAGCCTGTTAGAATTCTGCTCTACACTCTTCACTTTCTTCGATATAAAGATAGCACCCACTCGTAGAGAATTCATCTCCCTTGTGAGGGCATCATTAGCTTCGTTTGCATCCAGCAACTGGCGAGAGAGATCACGGCATTTGGAATTTGCACTACCGAGGTCATCTTCTAATTCAACAATACGGCGACGTTCAGATTTCAAGCGAGAGTTTAGTCGATCTGCCTGAATAAAAAGACAAGTGCATATTAGTAGAGAAATAGTTGAATATTTGTTGTGGCGGATAGCTGAAGCGGCGCCATGAAATTACAACGAAATGATTGAGATACAGTAATCCAAGAGCATTTCATAGCTATGACCGACCCGGACGACTTACAAAAGAATGAGAGTTCATCAGAAGTGACTCACCGTTTCACGATATTGTTCAGTTTGTCGCTTTTCTTCCTCCAGTTGTACATTCATCTCCATAAGGCGAGATTCTAGTCGACGGAACTGGAATATAATTTTGAACTATCATGCAGTGGTTTTGGCGAATAGATTATCCTATCAACATCAAAATTTTCGATCAACATCAGTGAGTGTTACAGTAACTAACAAGACCATTATTTCACTGCTTTCTACCGTGTTGATTATCATGGGGATCCAAATTCGGTACTGTGTTTGTAGAATTTATACAACTATGAACACAGCCTATGTCCGTGCGGGTTGATTCTTGGCACAAAAATTGCAGAACCATCACTTTTGAGGCGCAACCAGCCTGTTCTGCTGTAAGCTAGGCTTCGAATGCCACCGAAATTTTTCGCACTACTGTCCAAAATGATGATATCTCTAATCACGTTTGTAGGGATATATGGTACTGTGCCAATCTTCGGTCCGCACATTTTAGAAGCAGCACCTTGGCAACTTTCAAGTTGGTGCAAAAGTAAGCACGAGGAAACGATGAGTTTGGATTACCGTAAGTCAAATATGCCAAAACTTTTTAGATGAAAATTTTTTGCATATGTGCCTTTTCCATCAAGAAAAGCCTCTGCAAATAAAAGTTTGACATACAAAAAAATCCACATCTTTCAAGATGTCTATAAAAAAATAAGAGCCTCCGTCCTAATTTCGCACGACATGAACTTTTCGAGATTACTTTCTCAGCGAAGAGTCGCATGTGAGAGGGGATTTTTTTGCTGAAACCTCTTAAAGTACGTTAATGACATTGAAACATTCTTAGCTTATTTTACGTGCTACACAACGACATGCATTAGTGCCTCAAGGTGAGATTACGATAGTCAATTTAGCAACAGCTGTGCAACATTCGAGTTAAGTAATAAGTGATCAGAAACAATCATCACACCTGAAATTAGCATGCGAACTGTCGCAATTATTGATTTTCGGCAAAAAAAGCAAAAATCATAGAACATACATGCTTTGAGTACTATACCATGTGCCTTGCTATCCGCTATATTATGCGAAATATGTGCATGCTAGTTACGTAAAAAAGCATCATCCTTTGGAAAGTTGAAATTTCAGAAATGGGCATCGCGGCAGCCATATTTTCGTAATTTTTTTGCAAAGCTCTTTATATCTTTGAGAATTCTAAAAATTATTCCAAATACTACAAGTAGAAGCAAGCCATTTGCACAATTTTACAGCACATGTGAATATCCAAAATTACGCGATCCATTCTCGGCCGCCACTGCGCAATCTACAACCACTGATGATTTATACATCTGAGCACTACAGCATGATTTTCGGAAGAAAGCTGATTTGCATATTGCTATGAATGCCAAACTTTACTGCAACCTTTTGCATTTTTAGTAATACGTCCCAAATACCAAACTTGACAAATCGTTTTCCGCTTCGATACTTGTTCTTAACAAAGATAGCCAAGATGCTGTAAGAGAGTGTAAACCGCTGATTGCGTCTTTCTGCGAAACTACAAGCTTTTTAGCGAAAAACGGAACTATGGAGAAAGAAAATTCTGTGATGATTTAATGATGATGCCGCGATCTTCAGAAACATACCTGTCGGCTGACACGATTTTTCTCTTGTTCTTCATTTTGCAGCTGCTGCTCCAACATTTGCATTTTTGCCTCGGCTGTCGCTAATTGAGCGCGAACTCGCGCAGCAGCCGCCGCTGAAGAAATAAAGTATTACATATGTTCCGTCTGCCGATATGCGCAAAATGTACTTTCAGCCTCTTGCAATTGCGATTTCAATTCTCTCATTGCTCGCTCCAAAGTAGCTTTATCTGCATCTGCTCGCTCACACATTGATCGCTCTAATGTAAGCTCAGTAGTCAGCTGTTCTACCTAATAAGAGTTGTTGCTAGATTCTCAGTTATACCTGTGTTTTAAATAAAATTACCTGCGCCTGTGCTTTTTTAAGCTTTTCATTCACCAATTCACTACTTGTTTGCTCTTCTTCTAGCATTTCTTGTAAGTCACAGATTCGTGCTTCATACCTGAATTCAAAAGTACAATGTACCTTACTCTGATGATAAAGGCTAGCTAATCACCTTTTCTTTTCATCTTGTCCCAAAAGTCCTCCTTGTTTGAGGCCATTAAGCTCTTCAACAAGATCGTCTCGTTCTGCTTCTGCTTTTCTGCGCGCACTTTGCATGCTGAACAAATCGCCTGACAGCCTTGACACTTCAGCTTCAGCAGCTCGTAACCTGAAGAAGGTAGATATAGCGGATTTTGGTTTCGCGCTGATCAGCAAAATCTGTTTCCCATTTTTATCTGCAACTCACCGTTTTTCGGCATCCCTTGCTTTACAAAGTGCTTCATCCATCGCAGCTCGAGCTTCAGCACCTTCCGTCTCCGCTTCCTTGGCGTTTAGGGTTGCGCGGCGCAGTTGACGATTCGCTTCCTCATTTTGTTTCATGAGGCGCTCCATGTCTTCTTGTACCAGTTGAAGCTAAGATAAATGTTAACAGCTGAGAATTTGTATCATGGAACTTATAGGCTGCGTCGCAGCTAAGACGAATGTAAGAAATACATAAAATCTCAAACTATCTCACACGCGTGTACTAACTGGAACCTTTTGATATCGGTTCTCAGTTCCTCCCTGAAGTAATGAACGGATGCTTGCCTACCTGAGTCTCCACTTTCTTCTTAGCTTGTACAGCTTGTGCTCTTGAGCGTTGCTCTAGATTCAGTTCTTCTTCTAACTCGCGCAACTGTAACGAAATTCCCTTAGATAAAGATATTTCTTCCTTTTTTGGACAAAACTGACTACTACAACCATAATGCGAGCAAAATCCACTCGACCCACCCTTTTACTCAAAGAACGTCTCTGATCATCCTCTTCGTCGTTCCTTTGTGACAGTTGTCTTTCCCAATCTTGTTTGGCCGCCTGTAACATCACCTCCCCTCTGCTCTTTGCATCATCAGCAAGCTGTAGGGCATCTTCAAGTTCTATGATCTGAACAAGAGCAGTATGACAGATAGGTCACAGCAGTTTCAGAAATATAACCTGCTCCCGAGCCTCAGCCAGCTCATCCTCAAGGCGCTTTTTCGCTTTCTCGAGTTCAAACATGCTTTTACCAGCATCGTCCTTTGTTGAAGCCTGCGTTTTGAGAGATTTATTTAGAAAAGGGGCTCTACAGGACTTAAAGCGAACCAGATTATCAACTTCCAATCGCAACATTCGTCGTTCCTTATCAAACACCTCAAGTTGCTCCTGAAGCTCCTTGCCTTCTTTCACAGCGTTCAGATAGCGAGTCTCTGCGTCCCTCGCCTAAGTTGTTGGATGCAGCGAAAATGGATTCAAAGCTCCCGAAGGGAGACGACGTGCACTCCCTTACCTGTTGCTGAGCAGCGTCTCTTTCACTGATAGCTTTGGTTGTATTTGCTCTTTCCTCAGCCAGTTGCTGATCAAACTTTCGTTGTTTACGCTCGTTCTCTCTCAATGTTGTAGTCATTTCTGCCAATTCGCGTGAAACGTCGTCAGCCTATAAACCATCAACAGTGACTGAGATAGCAATCGTTCTTCGCAAATCTAACCTCCTGCTGGGCTTTCACTTTAGCACGTTCAGCTTTTTCACGGGCAACCTCTGCTTCTTCCGCTTTAGCCGCTGCTTCTGCTACTTCACGAGCAGTTTTCCGTTGTAATTCAGCGAGGCGTTGCTCAAGCTCTTCATCGAACCTCTTGCGGGCATCAGCAATTTGAGATTTTAGGGAGTTCAATTCCTGAGTGATTGTTCGATACCTCTCAGTTTTTGTTAAAGTTAGTGAGTGATCGCTTAGATGTGCAACTCATATCTCGTAAATCATGCCCTTCACACATTACAAGCTAGAGAAGATATTTTTCAATCTCGAGCAAGGCTCAAATCCACTTACAAGAGTATGTGCAAGACGAACCAAAACCCTTTAGTGGGAACGATTCTGCTCAAAGTATTGCTGAACTTAGCAGACGGATGGTAATGACATCAGTATCACATTTGTTGTCAACAAGACGTCCAAACAGTTTGAACGTTTGGGCTCATTTGGACGCCCTACTTGGAAACGTTCTAAGATTACTTCTTGTTATTATCACAGATTATGCAAAATTTTAGACCAAGAAGGTCAAAGGGTGACATAAATTCTAGAAGCATTCTGTACCCACTACTATAATCCAAAAATTGATTTGCGATTACTGTCGTCCTAACGAGCGTCTATTGGAAACGGACAGCCGTTTATGAATTAAATGATAGAAGAAAGTAAATTCATCCAGCAGTGGAACTGAGCGGTACAGCGTACTCAGACGTATCAAGTAATTTTTCTGTTGGGGGAGTTCTTACGGCTGAAGTATCACAAAAAAAGATCTTTAGATACCTTCTCGGATTTTTCCACAGCCAGTTTGTAGTCTTCTTGAGATTCGAACAATTCAGCAAGCTCATCTTCGGCTTTTCTTAATTTTGATGTTAGACTTGCACGATTTTTGTTTGCCTCCTCATTTGCCTAAATGACATGGTATATATGTCAGAAATAAAGACGGAAAAAGCCACCTCATTTAGCTCGGCTATCGTCATATCAAGGCTCGCAACTTTCTTCAGTAGATTGTTCGTCCTATCCACGTCGCCCTCGCGAGCTTTTACAGCATTTTCAAGCTCAAGAGTGAGCTAAGAAACAAAAAAGGTTACGAATTGAAAACCTGTAAGCATGTGGGTCCACGCTAACGCTACCTTTGCTACTTTAGCCGTCAAGAGCTCATTTTCTTCACAGTATTGCTGCAATCGACTAGCCTGTTCATTCAATTGATTCTCCGCCAACTAAACTTCGTATATGGCAACAGTTTAACCAGATATTGAGAGTGACGGACCTTTCGTCTACGCTCGCTTTCTATGCGCAATGACTGCAGATCGTTAAGCTCGGTCATAGCACTAGATAAATCAGTCTCGGCTTGAACTCTAGCTTTCTCACTCTAAAAAGTCGAGCTCCATTACAGCTTTTAATGAGCAGCATTGTTACCGCCGCCTTCGATCTTTTGAGTTGATCCATTTCCTCACTAAGCTCTTCTACTTGCTTTTGATGTTTGATGCGCAAACATTCGTAACGTTCATCAGCTTCTCGCATGCTCTCGGAAAGTTGATTCTGAAAGCAAAAATAGCAGAAAAGTGAGAACATTTATTGCATTTTGCATTTTTTGCAATGACACGAGGTTAATAAGATGGGTGGCAGATCACTAACGCAAAAAACAACACAGCATATCTTACTAGGCAGCGTTTATAAAAAAAAAATTATCTCAACATATACAGGGTGTCCCAAAAAGATGTGCACACTGTTTGATTGTAAATAACTCTTTTGTAGTGAAGTGTTTCGAGAAGCTTTAGGTACCATTTTGTAGAGCGAGGTTCAACTTAGATTTACAGTGTAGAGCGAAACGCCGGTCTTTCATTCTTACTGTAGGAGTACGGTAGAAACTTCAATCATATGGTGTCACTGTGAAAAAAGGGGCCTTTTCAAAAATTTTCAAAAAAATGTGGAAATTTGTGTAATAGAGTTTTTATGGACCCTGAGTTCAATACCCAACTCTTTACAAGGTTGAAAAGCTTTCTAAACGGTGTAACCGCACTTTTTAGGAACACTTAAAAAACGCCTGCTACTGCTTACCTCGCATAATTTTTTAATGAAGCATTAAGAAGAGTTGCAAACTTCACACTTAGAAACAGCAACTCTAGTTAGCCCAGTGTGAGAGTTTTCAGGTTGTTTTGGTTTCTTTTTTGGAACAAAATATGGCCTTTCATGGCTCGAAACCCTCTTCAAAGTTTCTACCGTAATCCTACAGTAAGAATGAGAGATCGGCGATCCGCTCTACACTGTAAATCTAAGTTGAACCTCGCTCTACAAAATGGTACCTAAAGCTTCTCGAAACACTTCACCACAAAAAAGTTATTTACAATCAAACAGTGTGCACATCTTTTTGGGACACCCTGTATTATCACAGCTGACCACGGCTCGGCACGAGCTGCACTAGATAAATTTCAAAAAGAAGTCCATGATCTCGAAAATTTCGTACAAAGTCCCCTTAGACCCCTACACCCTAAGCGTAAAAAACGTTCAAAAAACGGAAACTCGACCAAAAAAACGTCGCAATTTTTGTGTCCTCCCTGCCACAAAAATATTCCCTTTGCTTTTTGTCCCAACAACGATATCAAGATTGAACCGGTGCCAGCTGAGCCTTGCAGTCGACGCTTTTCACCTAGAGAAAAACGTTGATGTTCTCTTCCAAAAGATGTGACCTGTGCTGCTTCATTGATCAAGAGCTTTCTATATTCATTACTAAGTCTTTGTAAGCCTTACATTAGAAATGACCGAAAAAAATTGTCCGAAAGGGAGAGGAGGCGAACCTTTTTTTTGGAATGAAGAGGTGTGGCGACGGCCATACCCCGAAAATCTTCACTCCAAAAATCAGCTTAATTTTTTGGTGTCTTTTTTCGTGACAGGCTTGGCCCCTTCTCTATTGAAACGCTGACGTGAGAACATACTCATTTCAAGTCTTATCTCTAGCATGATATTCTTAAATGAAACTGCATGCTATGCTGCGTTATTCAGCCAGCTCTTACAATCAAACGCAAACCTGCAGCTGAGTGTACTCCTCCTCGCGTTTGGTCCTCATAGCATGGTGTGAAGCAGTTTTGTCTTGTGTCTCCTCCAACTCCAACTTGTAGCTTTCTACTTCTTCAGTCAAATCACGCCGTGCCTTTTCTGATTTGGCCCTGAAATTTCAGGGATGTGTGTAAAAGGTTCACTTGTCAAAAAAACTGGTATACCGTAAGGCTTGTTCCTGTTTTAAATCCTCAGTGGTTTCGTCAAGCTGCGACTGAAGTTCCCGTAGAGATCTTTCCAGCTGCTGCTTAGCGGCGATCGCTTCGTCATTGCTGTAAACAGTGCACACTCATCATAGATTGCAAGCCGGAAACATACTTAAGTTTGACTTGAGTCAGCTCATTATCCTTCCGAGTGATAATCTGCGCGAGTTCATCTATTTTTCGGAGCCTCTCTTGAGCAGAATCCCTCTCTTCTCTGAGTTCGCTTTCGACAGCTCGCTTTGCATTCTCAAGATCGCACCGAGTTTGCCTTTCCCTCAAACGCATAACTCAGTATGATTGTCAACCAACACTATGTCTCTTACCTTTCAACTTCTTCCTGCAACTCCGCCACAGCAGCCTCTGCCTTTTTTTTCTGCTTTAACAATGTCTTGACTCTTTCCTCCTCATCTATTAACCTGGCGGACAGATCTTTTAGTTTTTCTTCCAGAGTTCTCTTATCTTTGGAAAGCTGGAAAAAGAGGTAACAGAGGTTTCAGATAATAAATCAAACTCACTCGTCCATTGACTTCTTCACGTTCCACAGTTCGTGACTCGAGCTCCCTCAGCTTCTTTTCTAAGTCTATCTTTTCAATATGCAAGGTTTGACGCGTTCTCTCTTCGTCCTCGAGTTGGAGTTCCAAGTCGCGAATGTTTTCCTGAAGTACATACAAATATCTTAAGCGCTTGTACAAATAAAAACACGAATTCGCAGTACCAAAAATTTCTTCCTTTCTCTTTCAGCCACTTCGCGACGGTGTTCCTCATTGCGCAGCTGTTTTTCCATTTGATCAAGAGCAGCTTCTAATTCGCTCTTAACATTCACATGCGATGTATTCCCAATGATTCACTAATCCGTTACAGAAGACACATGCTCACCTTGCGAGCAGCTATACGCTGGCGAGCTTCGTCCGCTTCCGCTCGTTCCATACTTTCCAAATCTAACTTTTCTTGTAAGCGATTGCGCTCTTCGTCAAACTGCAAAAATATATATTATGAAGGCTTTGACGTTCACCTCCCCTACCTTCTCAATTGTTTTGGACATATCCGTAATGAAAATTTCACTTCTTCTTAGCTTTTCAGATGTAGATCTCAATTCCTGCTCTTTCTCTGCGATGACGATATCCTTATTTGTAATTTCAAGCAGTGGTTTCACCTCAAAGTCACGGCATTTTCACCCAGCGAAGGACACTACAGCTTGAAATATCACCTTGACGAATAGTCTCCACCACTGCCACTCACGCAACCTCATGAAAGCTCGGCCATTGCGCTGCAAAATGCGAATGGCCGCAGCTTGTTCGCGTCGATGATTGAAGTTCCGACGAGAAAGGACTCCTCGACAAAGTGCCTGGAAGTTTTGGATACATAAGCTTATGACGCTCAGTCAGCTTCCTATCTAACCTGAAATTGAATTACAAGAGACGCAAGCTTCTCGTCGCGGTCTTCTTCCAAGCCAGCAATGACGCCAGTGCGAAAGAATACTTTTGACTGCCCGATACGGTACAACGAGGGCTGCACTTCGATCGCTTCCAGTATCCGGCTATAATCGAACAAAAATACCGATGGTTTGTCTACTTCCAACAATATACTAACCGCACTGCCTCTCTCCCATCCATGAATCCATGAGGTATGGCTTGCGGCGCCAATAGCTTTTCGTACCTTTGGCGAAACTCCTAAAAAGCTGGATTAGAGAAATACACAAGAGGCGAATGCTTGATAGCAGAATCTGAGATCGTGATTCGAGGTAGGGACTGATTCTAACGTTAAGATGGAAATATCAGCAAAATGTACCACACCTGGAAGGTAATCCTGTTTGGAAAGCCTTGACGACAGATTCTGATACCTTCAAGGACGCCGTTGCATCTTAATTGATCCAAAACAAGGTGAGGATTCAGAACGCCATGCTGTAATTTGATTCAAGCACTTGGAAGTTTGAGAGGCATTATTCATACCTTCTTTTCATGATTCGGTACAATGCATCGCACAAAGTGAGGAGCAGTGTTATTCAACGTTGTCATCAAACGAGTCAGCTGTTCTTTGTGCATTTGTGATACTGTGCGAAACATCCCTTTCTTGACACGGGCTCCAAAGACAGCTGCAGCTTCGTCAACTTCTCCCGCTCCCATACAGCACATATCGCTCACTGGCAAGAGAGAATGAATTCAGCGAGCGCTTAGCAACATTTTAATGCGAAAAATTTTCTACCATCTTTCCAAATTTCGCAGACAAGGGGATCCTTGCTAAGTTGTAATAACTCAACTACATTTTCATTCAACGGATCCATATTCTTTACGCGCCATCCTTTCGCTTGATAATCAACTCTTCCTGCGTAATGAACGATGGCGAAATCGCTCCTGAATCGCTGCTGCACGGGAAACAAAAAGCTTGGTGATAAAGAGCAATTTACTTAGATCTCATTTCGGGTACTATGTATTTGGGATGATTCTGGTGTTGCGCAGCTAGCCTTTCTACAAAGCCTACATCATTTCCCTGCGGGAAAAGGCACACATCATCCAAAGTCGAGAGAACTCCCATTGGCTGTAAAGCAGTAATTGTGACAAGAAGAAAATACTTCTAGTATATCTAGAACACACCTTCTCAATCAGATCAATGGTAGGTTTCAAGTTCAAGCCAAAGTCGATCATGTCCCATTCAAGGCCTTCGTTCAGATACTCTTGCTGCTCCTTTTCGAACATGGTATTATTGAATAGTTGCTGCAACTTCTCATTTGTGTAGTTTATGCATAACTGCTCGAAAGAGTTCATCTCAAATATTTCGAACCTTAAATAGTGATCTGAATAATTTATCTGAGGAAGAAAGGAAAGAACACTACCCTGCAATATCCAGAATACCCACGAACGAAACTGCATGCTGTCGAGTACGGTCTAGAGACTTGTTTAGACGCTGAACCAGCCATCTGCACAGAATTAGTCGATAAGGAAGTATCTAGACGCTGACCAAAACAATTAGATTACCTGAACAGTCGCTCATAACTTGCTTTTGATATGGCTTCGACAGAAAATTTCGCTTGCTCCTCATTTTGGCTGCGATGGACATACTCTCGTCCAACCTGTAAATGGCCAAGCTTGATTAGATCAAATAATACAACTGAACTTTTATTAGAAAATAGATTGAATATTGATGCTGTCGGTTACAACAACAAAAATACGAAAAACTCACTTTGATTTTGGGTTTGAGAAATGCTTTCATGACTTCAGCAAGGTTCAATCCGAGAAGAGTGCAGATTTTCTGGGCTACTGCATCATTAACAAGAACTGCTTGATCGCAGTTTCTGCTCTCTTGTGCAAACTGCACGTTACCAAATAACATTACTGCTGATACGATTCGAAGTATAGCTGAAGAGAGAACATAATAAATTGATGAAAGGTTTTTTTTCAACTGTACCTTGTATTTCTGAGTCCTGGAACCCAACTATCTTCATGGCTTGCATTGTCTCATTGAACTCTATAGCATCATCGACACCTGGCAAGGTTAGATCGCCATTGGAAAGGAAATGATAGTTGTCAGCGCTTGGCTCCAGTAATAAAGATTCTTGAATTTTAGTATTGTTCACTGCACCACAAAACAAAACTGTGATGTACCACCTCTTTGATGCGGGTTAGCTCCGTGTAAAAGTTGATAAAATATGTGGAAACACCTCTCCATGGATGACTGTCGAAGGACCCGTGATTTTTCTAGCAAGTAAAATTCGATATTCGCACCAGATATACAACCAGTCGCATCAAAATGGATTCTTATGAATTTGCCCTAAATAACAATTTGATATTATTTGCCACTCGGTATAGATACTTACAAAACGAGAAGAGTTATCGTTCTTGATAGTCTTACTGTTTCCAAATGCTTCTAAAATGGGATTGGCTTGCAAAAGTTGTTCTTCCAAGCGGCCCTAAATTAGTGACATAGGCTATAACAACAATAGGCATAAAGATCAGTATCATGCAGAAACTTATTAGACAATCAAAGTGATCTGCTTACAATGTTTCCGCTAATATCCGCATGATAGCCACCAAAGTGCTGAAAATGAAGAGTTACCACTTTATAAAGTCGTTTGATAAATTACCCTATGAGATCTTGTTCCAGCGACATAGGCGAGGTACTGGATCACTTTTTTAGTGTTTTCCGTTTTACCAGCGCCAGATTCACCCCTAAAGAAAGGTTTTGCAAATCAAATTCAATATATTGTCTATGTCGACTACTGAGCAAAACATACGTGCAAAGTATAGACTGATCCTCTCTTTCTTGCAACATATTTCGGTAAGCTTCATCCGTTACTGCAAAAATATGAGGAGGCATTTCTTTCCTCTTCCTTCCCTGGAAAAACTGCATACCTATTGGAATCGCTGGGATGTGTAGGATTTGATGTACAACTTGAGATTATGACTTTAGGCTCTACGGTGCATCCCCCAGAATTGTTCCCAAAGGTACTATCAACGTGGTTGCCTTCCAATCGTTTTAAAGGCAGTGTCCGGGCAAAATCTCGATTTCAAGGTTTTGTGCTTATAGGGCCTACTCGCTATGCTAATCCGAAAATTCACACTGGAAAACACGAAAAAGGCGATAAACGGCTCTAATACAGGGGGAAATCAGCAATTGGGCGGGGTTGTCCCCACTGTGAATTCACGCTCCCAGCTTCCGGAGCGGTCTTCTCGATTCCGCTAGTCGTCCCAACATCGCTACCGGCCAAGTGCGAAGGACTGACTTGAAAGAACCCAGAACATCGTTCCGGAAGCTGGGAGCTTGAATTCACAGTGGGGAGGACCCCGCTAACCTGCTGATTTCCCTCCAGTATTAGAGCCGTTTTTCGCTTTTTGCGCTCTCCAGTGTGCATTTTCGGATTCAGTGTAGCGAGTAGGCCCAGGTAAGCACAAAATCTCAAAATCGAGTATTTGCCCAGCCACTGCCTTTAACACGTTAACTCTAGCGAATTTGAGGCGCTTATTCGAACTTGACATCTCAAAATGTTTGAAAGGCAGCCACGTTGATAGTACTATGGGAACAATTCCGCAGGAGCATAGAGGTGAAGTTCAAAATAATGCACTAGCGAAGATCGAAAAAAGAAGACGAGTCAAGCTTCATGATATGCGGAAAAGATAAGACAAGTCAGGCCTAGTGGAGGAAATAAAATAAGTATTCAGTGCACAGCATCGAAGAAAGACCTTCCTGAAGAGATGATGAGGATGAAGAAGCTGGACAAAACAAAAAGGAGAACATCAGTCTTGTATAACAAGAAGAAAAATTTAGGCTGGGAAACTCGTTGAACGCCGTGGCCGTAGTTCTGATATCCCCACAAACACGGCAAAGAACATTAAGGAGCTCTCGTTATGATATACGCGATTATGACAGTAGAGCGGCAAGACTCGTGTGGTGGCCAAAACCACAACGTCCACTCCCTGGCCATTTCGGTGCGTAGCAAACAAAGCTATCAGTAACCAGAGATGAGCGTGCGAGGATTCGACTCTTTGACCGTAATTGCTTTGATTCGGACCTAATTAAGCTCCGACGCAGCGTCAACCGTGTGGCAGTGGTGGAGAATGAGCGTTTGCCTATGCTAACTGCGAAGTTTTCTTTGATGCGTAGCATTTAGATCCACACCCATCGTAGCAATATCAGAATTTGTGCAATGGAAAGAATCCGATACGATGAAGTGCAAGGTTAAAGACTGGTATATCGCAAAAGAAGACCCCTAGGGGATCGGTCAGAGTTTGCCGGTGTTGCAAGTGTTGCCGGTGTTGCAAGTGTTGACGGTGTTGCAAGTGTTGACGGTGTTGAAAGTGTTGACGGTGTTGAAAGTGTTGACGGTGTTGCCGGTGTTGAAAGTGTTGAAAGTGTTGACGGTGTTGCAAGTGTTGACGGTGTTGAAAGTGTTGAACGGAGATCATCAGTGTAGCAGTTTCATTCTTTCTCGAACGATCTCACCGGCTGGTGAATACGTTGGAAATGGAATTGGGGAATCAGAAATGAAACTGAAATGAGATGGGGAAGATTTTCGCATGCAAAAGATCCTCAAACAAACTTTTTGGAAAGTGGATGGCTTGTCTGGAATAGGCAATCTCCAGTATATGAAAATGCTGCAGACCTCACTTAGGTCCTTTACTCACTAAACGCAAGCGCGGCAGGATTCGAACTATAACACATTACTCCTCAGACGTCAGCTTTCTCAAATATTGGAGATTGCCTATTCCAGACAAGCCATCCACTTTTCAAAAAGTTTGTTTGAGGATCTTTTGCATACGAAAACATTCTCCATCTCATTTCAGTTTCATTTCTCATTCCCCAATTCCATTTCTAACGTATTCACCAGCCGGTGAGATCGTTCGAGAAAGAATGAAACTGCTAGACTGATGATCTCCGTTCAACACTTTCAACACTTGCAACACCGTCAACACTTGCAACACCGTCAACACTTTCAACACTTTCAACACTTTCAACACCGGCAACACTTGCAACACCGGCAGACTCTGACCGATCCCTAGGAACTTCTCCACAACGTTTATAAGAGTTCCTTAATTAGAGCTGACTGTCATCTTCTTGGGAAGTAAATCTGCATGAACAACGGAAAAGAATGTTGAGGGAACTGTCGTAAGAAGAGAATGCCAGCCTGGCTGTTCATAGTTCGAGTGACAAAGTAGGTAGGAGGTAGCAATTCACATCAAAAGCCAGTTTTCATGGTTATTTTCGAGAGATAGAGAAGCCTATATGGAAAGGACAATTTTGGTTGAGCCGATTAAGTGGTAGAAGTGTAATGTTTATTTGATACAAGCTGGAGAAAGCAAACAGAATATCATACTAAATACTGAGAAGAGGCAATTATAAGCGACGAGAGATTATCAGACTTGCCTTATACTGTTCTGCAATTGACTCAGTGTAGATTGGCAGTCGTTTATAAGGATTGACTACGACACAGAAGAGACCAGAATATGTCTAAAACGGGTGATAATAACATACGTATCATACGGTAATTAGCATACGATAATCAGCAATGGAAGCTCACGTAAATGAGGCTGGAGAAATATCGCTGCTTCAGATTGTACAGGACTGAGGCTTCATTCAGACATGACATACTGGACATATCCTCGCATTTGTCAAAACGTGGTGGATTCACTTTTTGATAATCATCGCGGCTCACTCGTTGTCTTTCATGAGATTCGAGCAATTCCACTTCGACGTATCCTAAAAAACCACAGGAAAGGATGAAACATTTCGAGCTAGAAGGACCACTGCATGGCAGTATTCACCTTCGTTATCTGGTTCTTTGAGTATGAAAGACAAGGCAAATCCGTCCTTTTCGTGAGGAACCCAGACCAAGGTCCTGCCATTGGCTTCTGCTGCCCTCATCCGGTTGCCTAACTCGTTTTGGCTTACCTAAAGCGAAGCTTTGATGCATGGAACGATGGGTATAGCCCCACCTTCAGAATGTCAAGATCGGTCCCCTTTCGTGTCACTTTTGCAGCCATTGCAAGGATACGAGACCTGTAACGACCAGGCAATTAGCAATGAGGCTGCTGCACGAGAGAAGCGGCCTCCCACGAGGACCAATGTGCATAAATGAGAAATACACAGGAAAAACTACTTTATATATAGCACTGCTAGATATGGAAGAAACTGATAAGCTCAATGCTAGCCAACAAGCGATGAGGCTGGTCAGCCGCGAGCCGATTCAGCGATTACGTCGACCCATTTCGAATCGCCGCTGTTCGCGCCAATTTTGCATGAGTCAACACGGCTGGGGCGACTTTCCTCGCGCAGCCGGCCGCTTTTTGCCCGCGCCCATTCGATCTCAATGTCATCTCGCGTGCACTTAGCCGGACAAATTCCAAGTGCGAACAATCCAACCTTCCTGCTGTCTGGACAGGCGCATGCTCTACTTCAATGGCTTTGAAATTCTGAGCTTACTAGAACTAGGAGATGAGAAGCATGTGGACAGTTGTGATGAGATTGCGATTATAAACTGATTTTCTTTATTTGCGTGCCCAAGGTTCACTTGAAGGTATTAAATTCTCTGACTGATAAGGGAAGGATATCAACATAGATAATTTGGAAAACCAAAAAAATGTATATCAATAGACGCATCTTCAAACGCTGTTTCCGATACTTTTCCTTTTCTGCGGAACAGCCTTTTAAAAGAAGTTATGAGCGTTTGAAAGTCCAAAAATGTCAAGTCTTCAGTAGCAAAATATTAGCGAAAAGCTGTACAAAAACACGTGAAAGTGGATTATCAATTTTGTATCAATTATACTGGTTACAGAACGGAACACTTCCGTGAAAGTCCTTAGGGGTTCCTTCAGCGATTTTAGCTATTTTTAAGCCACTTTAAACATGACAAATTTAGACTTTGCAAGCTCATAACTGCTTTCGGAGAGTTGTTCCGCAGAAACGGAAAGCAGATTTGGAATCAGCGTTTGAAGACGGAAGACGCGTGTAGTATAGACGTTTATGATCGGCTTGCAGATTCAGGTGGAAGTGTATTGCAGACTTTGCCTTATAACAATGAAAATTTGTTAAACCTCCACGTTATAGCATTGCTTTTCGTACCCTCTCGCTAGCAAAAACCGCCACGCTGTGAGTTGGCAAGATTCCACCTCCACACGAATCTGGAAGCCGATGATATATCTACATCTCTCCTTAAGCTGCCAGATAATATTGGTATCCCTCCCCTGTCAGAGACACGAGCACGTTTTGCGTACCTGAAGAAAAAGTTCATGAGTCGCTTTCGCTTGGATATACAGAGCATTTCAAAAGTCGTGACGATGGCGCGACCCGTCCAGTCGTAGAATTATTGACACGTAATGCATCGATATACCCAAGCTTCTCTCGTTGCTCCAATGTTGCGGAAGAGTAGATTCTAGGTTGCAAAAATAGTAGGCGTTTTTTACTCATGAACAACTGGATAACCCTCAAAAATTATGACGCATCCCAAAGCAGTTCATAATTACCATCATTGAAGTATACACTGGCCACTGGCCAAGCTCCACTTTATGGTCAAAATTCTGTGGGAACCCATGCTTTGCGATGAACGAACAGATATCATTCATTCTACGACTAGGAGACGCGAGACCGCACTGCACACATTGTCTAAACAAGCCCGACCGTGTACTTAACAGGTTTATACCTTGTTATTTGTCTCGTCCAGGTTTATTCACCCTTCGGAAACAGGGGAGAACAAATTCAAACTTGTTTAGACAATGTGTGCAATGCGGTCTCGCGTCTCTAGTCGTAAAATGAATGATATTTATGTAATGAGAAATTTTCCATGGGGTGTGAGATCTTGTAGTAGTACCATACCTTTTCAACTTCAAAGCAATAGACTCCTGGAATGTCAATGCTAGTAGTATAAATTGTTTGTTGCTCCCAGAAGTTTCGAAGACAAATGTGGAGTGGGGTTTTGTTTCGCGTGAGATAATTGGTGAAATCACAGCTCCCTTTCCGTAAAACTCTCCTTCTCGTAATGCAAATTAAGCTAAGTTGCCGCACTATCCTTCAAGCCTTCAACTAAAAAACCAAACTAATGAAAATGAAAATAGAAATGAATGATAGCTTTCAGCTGTCATCGACTCCACGATTCGTGTAGAGGCGGGGTTTTGCCAACTCAAAGCGTGGCGGTTTTTGATAGCGAGAGAGTACGAAAAACAATGCTATCACGTGGAGGTTTAACAAGTTTACCTGTGTTATCAGGCAAAGTCTGCAATACACCTCTACACGAATCGTGGAGACGATCATACATGATTACGGCAAAAATCTTGGTCGTTCTTTCCAAGGACTTTTGGTTTGTGGAATTGGAGAGTCTCGCGATAATTCTTTTAGTCTTTTCAAATACTGACTCTCTTTTACCTGAGTCTCCATAGCAACTCCACGACGGCTTAGAATGTTGTTAACAATGGTGGTGCGAAAGCTTGAAAAACCGATCCTCTACAAGGTGATGGCAAATCAGAATCGAATTTTGCAAAACGCTCATCACTTCTGCATCAACTATTACTTTCGGTATACTACACTAGCTTTATGCGAGTCAAAACTTCGTTCTTTTTTTTTAATCTTGTCGTCAAATTTAGCCGCGCCAAAAAAAAATGCTGAACCATTTAGAGATACAGAGCACAAATTTTGCGAAAGTTTACTTCTTAGCAAACATGTTTTTTGAAATAGTCTGCTGAAGGCTTTCTTGTCGTGAAACGACGTACCGTACAACTGCCCATTTTTCATTTTTCGCCTAAATTCTGTAAGCCAGTGTATCCGAAAATAAATCTGGAAAGAAAATTATCTCCCTAGTTTGGTAAAGAGTACTTCCATGTTCTTCTAAACTGTCTCCGCTCACCCCGTTTACTCAATTCTTAGGTAAAAGCTAGACTTATTAACTTACACGCTAACTAGAAGTCTCATCTCGTCAGACATAGGGTTTTAACGAGAATTTGGTATCAGTTACGCTAGTTGAATAGCAATAGTTCGTAGCATTGGAAAACTTTCTAACGTTAGAATTTCCCTAACGTTTGAAGCCGTTAGGAGAATAACCGCAGTGGGAATGCTACACTACCTCACTCATATTGGGTCAGTCCACAAGTTCTTTCGTTTTTTCTTTTGCCATATGATAAAACACGTGAATAAGATAGGTAAAGATTCCAAGTACTATTTGACGCAGCTTCTTCCTCTTCTCAACAGTTATGTTTTCGAGTAGTTGCTCTTGTAATCACTCAAATGATCGCCGTTTTTAGCATCGAACTTCCGGGCACAGTCCGGGGCTTGAGTAAACCCCGAAACTGTGCACGGAAGTTCGCAATTCGAAGTCAAAGAAAGAAAGAAAGAAGTCATGATGACTTCATTTTCGAAGTCTTCACGAATCCGAGAACGAGAAGAAAAAATGGCTCTCAGAAAGAGGCTAGAAACCGCATTGAATGCTCTAGTTGCTTGCTTTTGATATTCAGTGAGGTTCGGAATGATCAAATATGGAATTCACCAGTAAATCTTTGTATAGGCCTGCTATGGAAAAAATGCATTACATTACACTATTTTTTACCACATTAAAATCCTTCCAAAAGCTCGAATAGAACTCCAAAAAATGCTAATGAACATGTTAACAAGCATGGGTTTGAGATTTCGACGATATTTTAGTGACTATAAAAGCAGTTAGCTCGTATGACTGCTGGAATGAGGAAGAAAAACTGCGTCGAACGATGTTTGAATCTTAGGCCCCGGCTTCACGCGATTTAATCGTCGCGACTGAATCGCGACGAGACAACTGTTACAACATCATTCCATGCCGATCAACTTGCATTTCGGTTGTGATACTTTTCCAGCCCGAAATTTTTGAATGTGAAATGAAAATGAATGGAAATGTCGGCGATTGAGTCGCGACGATCAAATCACGTGAAGTCTGTCCGGGACCTAAGAGCAAGTGTTACGAGTTCATTGCATGCCGATCAGGTTGCATTTCGGTTGTGATACTTTCCCAGCTCAAAATTTTGAATGTAAATTGAAAATGAATGAAAATCGCGGCCATTGAATCGCGACGATCAAATCGCGTGAACTCTGTCCGAGGTCTTACTCATTGTTGCTCTCTTTGTGAGGATAGGTCGAAGAAAACGAAAGAGCTTTTATGTCGAGTTGACAAGTCTTATTGAGGACTGCAACTCAATAATGCTCTTTCAAAGCTGTAAGCAGCATTTTAAGTACAATTTTTTTGGTCAAATGTTCGGTGAAAAAAATTTTTAGTAGCATCATTGCACAGACAAATTCGAATGAAACTACATGTTTCTATCCAGTGAAATTTCTTCCTTTGTCCTTCGAGGACCTGAAAATAAATCCGAAACCACTAATCTTACGAAGCCCCAGAAAAAAAATTTTTTTATAAGGCTAAATTGAATTTTTAAAAATTTTTTAAAATTGTTTTAATTATTTACAAGTATAAACAAGTCATTTGCACAATTTTGTAACCTTTACAAGTATTTTTCAAAAATTTTGCGACACATTCTTGGGGGGGGGAGGGGGGCGCTCGCCCTGCCCACGCCACTGGAAGCTGCCCCTCCTTTCCCGTCTTCACTTTTCTCCACTTCTTTCCAGCCCTCCTCATAATGAATAATACAAAACTCCGAGTCTCTTTTGAGTTCTTCCTTCCTCTCCTCTCTTCCTCCCCTACCTCGCTGGTATCACGCTTTACTATGAGAGTGAGGAGGCTGAGATTTTTTTTGTGAGGGCATCCGATTTCTTCGCCGCACCTATATGGAAACTTTGACATGTCTTTTATTTGTATGTGTTTGCTAGCGTCATTCGCGTTTTCTTGGGAGTGAAGGCTGCTAGCTGATTTGTTAGTACCTGGGTTCATTAAAAGTGATGTTCTTCACATCAAACCCTGGCTAACAAAATCGCTGGAACGCTCCGTCGGCAAAGAGTGATAGAGAGAAGCTGATTACATGTCGTACTGTCTACGCATCTCGTTAAAAGACTTAAAGATGTTTTTGCGAGATTTCCGCTTTTATGGTTTTGTATC